GGGGGTGAAGGCGGGGAGGGTGAAGGCGGGGAGGGTGAAGGCGGGGGGGGTGAAGGCGGGAGGGGGTGAAGGCGGGAGGGGGTGAAGGCGGGGGTGGGTGGGGGAGAGACTCCAGACTCAGCACGAAGGAAGAGCCCCAAGCCAGCCGGAGCTGCCGGAGCCGGGCCAGGGGAGGGAGCCGGGCCAGGGGCGGGAGCCAGAGGGAAACGGTGTTGGCCTGTCTGCACACCGGAGTCATGGTGGAGTCTGGGGGTAGTGACATCCTGGGGGAGCGGAGGCGCCCTGAGCCGCGGGGTGATGTGACCCTCCCACGTGTGTCTCACAGATGCCGTGAGAACCGGCGGGAGCCTGGAAATACCGCCTCGGGGAGCACTCACCCTCGGAGAGCTGGGGTGCCGGAGGGCCGGGCACACGCACCTCTCATCCACGTTGGCGGATCCAAGCACCAGCGATCCCCCGCGAGCGCCCCGGGCCCAGAGGCTCAGCTGAGCGAACAGGTAGGACACGACCATCCGAACCCGAGCCTGGGTGACACAGCAGGAAGTGTCTCCCCGAGCCGGCTGCCGAGGGCACACACACACGGGCGGGGGCGGGTGCAGTAGCCCAGGAGGTGGGGGGGCGCAGCCCGCTTCCTGAAGACACAGGAGCCATACACGCACACCCATGCACACACGTGTGCACACAGGCCTCCCTCAGCCCCACCCCCACGCACGGTCTCGCGCCCTCACACGGGACCAGCACGTGCACTGACGCGCACGCGCACACACGCCTTAGGCACAGTGCCCTCGCACGCACGTCCTGTGATGCCGGCCCAGCTGGGAGGCGCACCTGCACGTTCTGCAGCGCCAGGTTTTCACGGTGGCTTCCTCCGTGGACCGCGAACACAGGCCTCTTACCCGTCGCCAGGCTGAAGATGCCCACGACGGCCTTCACCGCAGGGTCGATGTTGAGTCCCACATGGTGGCTGCAAGGGGAAAGGCAGGTGTGCACAGGGGCATGTGCACGCACGCACAGTAAAACACACGTGACACGAGACATACCGTTCCAACCACGTGAAAGTACACGTCTGGGGGCACCCAGTGCCTTCACGTGTGGTGCAGCCCCCACCTATGTCGGGCTCCGGAACACCCCCCCAACCCCCCAGGGAAGCCCCGTGTCTGGACGCGCCACAGAGATGGCCACGGGATGTGGTGCTGTGACTGGCGGTTCCACCAGGCATCGTGTTCCCAGGGGCCCTCCTGCGGCAGCAGGCGTCCGAACCCCCTTCCCTTCTGAGGCTGAGTAGCATCCCGTGGCACAGACCACACCGGCTGATCAGCCTGTCTGTCAAGGGACACCAGGCTGCTTCTGCGTCCTGGCTGTCGTGCTCGACGCTGCCCTGGCCGCGGGCGCACAGCGTGTGAGGCCGCGCCCATGGGCACTGCTGGGGTGGGGGCGGTCTTAGCTGAGAACACGCAGGGGAATCTGAAGGGACCGAGTCCCCGTCTGGAGGGATGCGCTGTTCCCACCCGGCTCCGGCACAGGGAACCGGCTGGGAGGAGGGCAATGGCCGTCACGGCGCCAGCCAGCTCCCTGGAGCTGCAAGTGGGGTCCCGGCTCCCACACTGGGGAGCACATCAGCCCTGGCGGCTGGCGTTGGGGATGCCAGGGGCTGGGCGGGACTGACACAGCCAGGGGTGGGGGCGGGGCGGGGGGGACTGAGACACAGGTTCCCTACAACCCGGCTCACGAGGCGGCAGCAGCCCACACACCCGACGCACCTCTGCCCGCGCCAGCGGCCCCTCTACCTGCCGATCTGCCGGGCCAGCTCGGCGGCTCGTTCCCGCGTCTCCCGGGAGGAGTTCTCGCTGCCCATGTAGCAGGTCGTCAGCACGCGCCCGCAGAGCTCTCGGGGGTCCTGGGGTGTGTAGTCGGGCTGGTCCACGATGCTCCGGACATCGGCCAGCACTTCCTGGTCTGAAAACCACCAGGCAGCAGGTGGCAGCCGCTGCTCGGGGCCCAGGCCTCTGCTTCGCCCCACCCGGCCCCGCCTCCTCCGCGGGAGCAACCCCCTGGCTTTTCCGGTGAGCACGCTAAGGGGATGCTTGATACGGGGCGCACGGGGAGGATCTCGACCCGGTTTCCTGACCCCGAGGCCCGCATTCCTCCCGCCAGGCCACACCGCAGCACACGGCATGGCACATCTGGCTTAACAGCCACGCCAACCTGGCCCGAAGCCCGGGGAAGGACCTCATTGCCTGCTGCCCCCAGGTCCTGCCATGACCTCTGAGCACAACCGCAGAGCCGCCGTCGCCCACGAAGACCAGGCCTGGCGGGTCTCCTCAGCCCAGCCCCCCCACCCCCGGAGCCTCGCTCAGACCAACGGACGCCACCTACTTCCATCCTTCACAGCCTCGCAGACCTGGCGGCACATAGAGTAGACGAGGCAGGCGGTGGCCGTGCTGTCCACACCGCCACTCAGGGGCAAGAAAAACCCGGCCTGGAAGGGGCCGACCAAAGGCGGGCGTGAGCAGAGCCTCGGACGCGACGTGCCCAGAAGCCAGCCCAGCCCCACCGTGAGCCCCGCGAGCACTACGAAACCTCATGGGCGTCAATGGGTGTCAGCGTGCTCACGTGGGGGGCAAAGACATGCCCCGCACATTCCAGAAGGGCTTTTCCAGGGGAAAACGGATCCTTGGCTGGGAAGGGACCCTTGGCTGGGAAGACCCTTGGCCTAGGACTGATTCTCGGGAAACTGCAGACGTCAGGACACAAAACCCGCGGGAGATGGAATCTGTTCACTGGGAACATCGCTGGGCGGGACTCAGAGACAGAGCCAAACCTCCATGTGCCCTGTCATGTCTGGCTACGCAGACGAGCCCCCGACTGAGGCTGAGTGAAGGAGGGCTCGCGTTAGGAGGAAATCACTCGCCCCCCACCCCCAGACTCAACACAAATGCGGAAACCTTACCTGTTGGCTGCGTCTGAGAAAATCCCAGAGCCAGCACGCGGGGCCGAGGCTGCGGGGCAACGGGCACCGTCAGGCCTGGGGCCACCGGCCGGGCCTGCAATCCACTGGGGTCGGCGGCGAGGACCCGGCGGCTGGGCCCAGAGCTTCGTAAAAATTAGCTCACTTTTGTCTCCAAACAGCGCTGGGAGGCGGGTGGCGCCTCTGGCTCGGTTTGAAACCAGAAAACCGAGGCGCACAAGGAAACGCCAGGCCCGCGGTGCCCGCGTTCCCCCAACAAAGAGGCAGCGGGGCGGGAGGGGGAGGGGGAGGGGGAACCAGGCCGTCCAGCTGCAGCCTCCACAGCCTCAGCCCAGATGCAGCACAGCCTCCTCCTAACCAGGCAGCAGGGCCGGGCAGGCGGTGAGGACCGGCCATCCACCCGGCTCTGGCCCCCAAAGTGGGCGAGGGGCGCGGCCTCGGGAACAGCACGCCCCCCCCCCCCCCGCGCGTCCAGGCGGCCCACCTGATCTCCTCGGCAGGACTGTGGTACTTCCACTCGACGGGCTGGGACACCGGCACCAGCAAGTCCTCGCGGGACGAGAGGGCGAAGTCCACCTTCACTCGGGGGTAGGGGTTCACCTTGCTGGCCTGCTGACGGAGGCACGATGCTGACGCCCCGCGTCACCCAGCCCTCAAGGGCCCCTGCGGCGGCTGACGGACAGCGGGATGCATGTCAACCCTCCGGCGGGACGGCTGGGGTCAGAGAGACTGGCGGCCGCCAGCGCTGGGTCCCTCGTGCGCTCAGGTGCGGGTGGGGGACCAGTCCAGCACCCCCACCCCCAAGATCAGAGCAGAGTGACCACGCGGCCCAGCGGCGGGTGGAGGGATGCTCACAGTGCAGTCCCAGCCGCGGAGAGGCACGAAGCCCAGACGCCCGCCACACCGGGACGGGCCTGCACACGGCCTGCTCGGGGACAGCAGCCACACAGAGGACCTCTGTTACAGGACTTCAGCTCTGAGAGACGCCCACAGTGGGCAAATCCAGACCGGACACAGACCGGTGGGTCCCCCGGCTGGGGGAGGGGCACAGAGTGAGGCGGGCAGGCAGGGGTTTCTTTGGGGTGAGGAGGTCCTCAGTGTCAGGGCACCAAGGAGGTGACGGCTGCACGGCCCTGTGAGCCTGCTCAATCCACCGATCGCCGTGTGCAGCGGGGACGTCTCGACAAGCTGCTCTTTACAAAAAAAAGGTCCTAAGTCCTTGTCAAGCATCCTGCGTGTCTGCCACACTCACCGCCAGGTTTCGAGATGAAATCTCTGCCCTGTAGCTTCGGACATCCTCCAAATCCAAGGTTGCGGTGAGGACTTCCTGGAGAAGGGGGTTTCAAAGGGAGAGCGTGATTTCCAGGTTTTCCTGCTCACACGGGTAAGCCGGCTGTTTTCCGAGATGTGCACATTCCACAGGAGGAGTCCCCCTTCTGCGGCAGGGACTGGGGTCTGTGGGCTCCTAGGGGCCCCGGGGAGGGCCAGCCAGTGTTGCTGCCCTCCAGCTGGTGTCCCGGAACCTGCAGTGAACGGGGCCGCGAGCCTGAATCACAGCACAGGCTTCTGCCAATCAGTGTCCGCGGGACCTCTGAGACCGCTTCTCTGATAAAGATGCACGGGGAACAGGGCCCCTTTGCTGCTTTGAACGTGCTGTGTGGAGACGGGACAGCTGGAGCTGCTGCAGCCATCCTGGGGCCACGAGGAGTGGCAACCCGGGATCTGAGGCCACGAAAGGGAAGGCTAAGCGGGAGCCTCAGCAATCCATGCTGGCGTCCCTGCCTACATGTGCTGCTGTGTGACGGCGGGTGACACGTCCCTGCCTTCAAACCCAGGTGAGACAGGAATATTAGGAGTTAAAAAGTAACACAAAATAGGAAAAGAATAAAATTTCAAGAAACTGCAAAAGAAAGATCTTAACTCGTACGTACTATTTCTTTCTCTGTGAAAATAACTCCTGATCAAATCACGTTACTGCAACGCCGTCTCACATGTGCCAGTGTGGGACAGTGAGCGTGGCCCCCACCCCCGCCGGGTGGCACAGGATGGCCGTGGCCACCTTGCTCCTGCACCAGGCTGTGGGCAGCTGCCGTGGGCAGCTCTGGGCCCAGGCCACGCTGGACACGTCCAGAGAAAACGGAGCTCACACATTTGTTCTCTCATCATTTCCTGAAGCGATGGGCCACCAAGACCACGGCGCCTTCCAAATGACAAAGCCCAGGGAGGCGCGAGGCCACAAAGCACGAGACCGTGGATGGTGTGAATCTTTTCGTGAGAAGGCGGCCCCGTTCTACTTCTCCCCCGACCAGGTGAGCTTCGGCAGGAACATGGGACCGGAAGACCCCGGGACGCACGTGCTGGAAAAGGGCCAGTAGGGGGCGCCTGGGCAGCTCAGTCGGTTAAGCCTCCGACTTCAGCTCAGGTCACGATCTCGTGGTTCATTGTGGGTTCGAGCCCCGCGTCGGGCTCTGTGCTGGCAGCTCAGAGCCTGGAGCCTGTTTCAGATTCTGTGTCTCCCTCTCTCTCTGCCCCTCCCCTGCTCATGCTCTGTCTCTCTCTCAGAAATAATTAATTAATTAATTAAAAGGGTCAGCAGGTCTGTCGCCCTGTGAGATGGCTCCACGTGCCACACGAGGTCTGATCATGGCAGGAGGGTCATGGAGGAGTGGCCTGACAGCGTGGCCTCCCCTAGCCTCTCCTCGATCACTGGGATGGAGTCAGGATTCTAGCCTGGAAACTGAGTCAAGGGCGTCAGGCTTCAGTGCGCGGCCGGATCACCTTGGTGTGCGCCCGAGAGACAGAGCCCTGGGGGCCTGACCCCGAGGCCTGGCCGGGGCTTGGCACCTACTCCTCTTGGTGCAGGCGGCCCCCTCTGCTGCCCCTCAACCCTGGCAGGGCGCCCGTGGCTCTGCTGTCCACCCGCCGTCCTGGCCACAGCGACCCGGCCTGAAGGCAGCTGGGTGTTCCCATGGACAGAGAAGATGTGATGCCTTTCGCACGAACTTGACTTTTCCGAACTTGACCTTCCCGTCTTTACTGTGGCTGATATTGAACACGTGGAGGGCTCTGGGGTCGCTGTCACTTGGTGAGCAGGGCCTGGGGGACAGCTGGGAGGGAGGGAGCATCCCTGCTGCCGAAGTCCTGACCCACTCCCCCCCCCACCCCTCCACAAGAGAGCATCACCGGGATCTCTGGCTCTGCTTTGAGATGCAAGTTTGGTTTCCCACCTGCTTCCTCACCAACCGTGTGAGCAAGCCGAGTGCAGAGGAAGTGAGTCTCACACTTACGACGGGACGGGACTTGCGCTGCTGCGTCCCGCAAACCTGTCTTCCCTCCCACCAGCCCCTGAACTAGCGTTTCCAGCCAACCCCAAGACGCGGGTGATGCCGACTGAGGGCCCCTCACGGCCGCATAACCATGAGTCACTTCTCGACACCTGTCTGCCCGGCTGCTTCGTCCCCACTTCCCGCCACCTGTGTCCGCACCGCTGACCCTGGGCCTCTCACACGTCCAGTGATACCAGACGGCCCCACAGAGGGAGGCCTTCCGGGAGCCTCAGGGCCCCCAGGGCTCTCAGGGCTGTGCCAGGCCCACAGTGAGCACGCGCGGCCTGGACACGCGGGGAAGAGGCGGCAGGTCGTTCTCAAGTGGCCTCACCGAGCTCCTCTCAGCTCTGCTTGTACGCACGAGGCCCCCGCTGAGCGACCCCTTCCTGCGGGGACCAGGCGGTGCTGCCTACTCCCTGGGGGCCCAGTCACCAGCTCTCCCGTCGGGACGCAGCCCGCCCCCACAGCACCTGCCCGCTCGCTTGCCCCTGAGGGCGACTGTGGGGCTGGTGTCCTCCCCCGGGCTGTGCACATGGCGTGAGCCTTGCACTGTGGTGGCCTCTTCTGTCCGGGCGTGGGGATGGGTGCCGCGTGGGGGCCCGGAGGAAACAGCCCCACACGAGAGCTCGGTGGAAGGAGCAGACGCCCTGGGTGCGAGCTGGCTCTCACCACGTCGTCCAGGGAGAACTGGGAGCCCTGCGCCACGATGTGGCCATTCACGGCTATCAGGGCGCAGCCGTCGTAGTAGAGCCGGTCCCCGTCGCAGCCCTTCTGGTTGGCCAGCAGGTAGATGCCGCCATTCTGGAGAACACAGGGGCAGCGAGATCACCTTCCCTTCCTCGGTGCCCGCGGGGACCCCTCCCCCTGAAGGAAGGGCCTGTGCACAGTGGGGCACAGTGGGGCCCAGGGCTGTGAGGCGCCGGCCTTCCCAGGCTCCGGGCGTCACGCCGACGTCCCCCGTCGCTGCCCCCCAGCACCCCTTCCACAGCGGCTGTCATCTCCTGACACGGGAGGAGGGGTCATGAAAGGCAAACCCCACGGCACGGAGCTGAGACCCAAACCCGCCCCTCAGGGGTCACGCTGCCCAGCAAGGGTGGCAACCTCGGGGTCGCTCCCTGCACTCTGGCTTGGCGCCACCGCACACGCAGCCAGCGCGTCCCTCGACCTTCGGATGGTGCCTCGGGCCTGGGGGCCGACGCTGGGGCAGGAGCCTGTGGCCACTGGACCCCGGGAGCCGGGTGCCCTGCCCACCCTGCAGGGTCAGGGGAGATCCGGCAGGAGTGGCCCCAGAGGGCGAGACGGTACATGTGTGCAGAGCACTGGCCGTGACCACGGGCGCCGACGTCCGCCGTGCGGGCCCTGCCCTGCCCGGGCACTGGGGACTGGGAGTGTGCAGGACAGACCCGGGCCGCGGCCCACACGCTCCAGCACGGCGGCCCAGCGCCTACCTTGGTGGTGGCCATGGTCACCAGATCCACCCTGGCATGGGCTTTGCGCAGCACGTGGTGGCTGCCAGAGGCGTTGGTGAAGATCTCCACGCCATCCAGGCCCATGTCCACGTGTGGGCTGTGGGCAGATGCGGCTGACAGGAAGAGACAGGCTGCGCCCCGCCCTGCCCGCCCCGCCCTGGTGTCCCTGAGGCCACCTGCCAGGGCTGCCGCGCACCCGGGGCCAGGCCTGACCTGCGGGGCGTCCACAGCTCCTCACAGATCTCGCTCCCGATGCAGGTGTCCCGGGTGGCCAGCACTGCATCTCCGAAGGGCACGGTCTCCTGCAGGAGGGGAGGAGGCACCTCAGCCGTCCCCCCGTCAGGGCTGCGTCCCCACCCCACCGCCCCTTCGCTTCCAGCCCCAGTGAGCCCCTGCCCAGCTGGGGAGCACCCCCAAGCCAGGCGGCCCGGTGCCAGCTGCACCGCCCCTGCTGACCCTGAGGCCCTGGTCGCAGCGTTCGTTAGCAGGAGCTGTGCTCCGAGCTGCCACAGGGCTACCGTGGCCCCGAAAAGCTGTCACTACGCTCTGGAAGCTTCCATGGGCACAAACCCCCATAGTCATCATTGTCATTAAGAATAAAGGGTCTTGGGGTGCCTGGGGGCTCAGTCTAGTGTCTGACTCTTGATGTCAGTTCAGCTTGTGGCCCCAGGATCATGGGATTAAGCCCCATGTCAGGTTCTGCACGGACCCCTGCTCCGGCTCGACTCCATCCCTAAGGTCCAGCTGCACCCCGGCCAGCCCTCCCCTGCAGAGATTCCGGACCCTAAGGAGCTGCCCAAAGGGCAGGAATTAGGGGTGCAGAGAACCTGGTGGCACAGGCTGATCTGGGTCCCTCAGATTCCTGCGCTGGGGTCCTGACCCCCCAGCACCTCTAAACGTGACCGTGTCTGGAGAGGGGACTTCATAGGTGACTGAGGGAACACAGGGTCACCCAGAGGGGCCCTGATCCAGTGTGACCTGGGTCCTTGTAAGAAGAGGGATCAGGACACAGACATGCACGGAGGGATGGCCCCGTGAGGACACAGGGTGAGGACGGCTGTCCACACACAGGAGAGAGGCCTTGGGGGCCCGGCCCTGCCCTGCCTGGACCTCGGGCTCCGGCCTCCAGGACCAGGAGTCAAGCACCTGCTGTTTAACAGACTCCCCCCCCCCCCCCGCCCCTTCCCCTCCCCCTCTGGTGCTCTGTTATGCAGCCTGAGCAAATTAACACACTTAACACACTTAACACCAGAATGGGACCTCGGGCAGAAAGTGGACCAGTCAGGCCTCCCCCAGCACCCACTCTGTGCCCCCGTGGCCACAGCCGCCCATGGGAAGCGGACACGGGTTCCAGCTGTCACCCCAGCAGCTTCCCGTCGGAGGAGGGGGCACGAGGCCCCAGGCACAGCTGGGCGACCAAAGTGCTAAAGGCCTGGCCAGCCAGGTCCAAAGCATGAGGTTTCTGATGCTGGGTCTTCACAGGATGAGGTAAAGTCTTCCTTGGGTTTCACTCCTAGACCCCTCCCCCATCCCTGTCCCCACACCACTTCCTGGGCAACCCTGAGGCCCGAGCACCGGCCCCAGCAAGGTGTGGGAGGGGTCTCAGCACAATGGGCGGGACGGGAACGGGGAGGCACGAACATGCCGAGCACGTGGCACCATCCTCCCTACGTGCCCGGGAATCTCTCCCCGCACACCAGCCAGGGCCGCTGTGGCCTCGACACCCCCACCCGAAGCGCAACGCCCCCCAGGTGCACCATGAGCCTGGCCGGAAGATGGGTTCTCTTCCCAGAGACTCACCTGCTCTGTCAGGTCCTGTAGCATCCGGGGGAGAAAGTACTCCTCTGTCTGCCTGGGGAGGGAACCAGACAGATCTGAGGACGAACGTCCCAGAAAGCACGAGGCATGGATGGCATCTGAATGGGCACAAAAGTCAACCCGGAGCTTCCAACGGTGCGTCAGCAGAGGACTGTCAGGCATGCCCAGGCGCCCCGAGCCTCGTAATGCACGTGCCCAGGTGCCCCGAGCCTCGTAATGCACGTGCCCAGGCGCCCCGAGCCTCGTAATGCACTTGCCCAGGCGCCCCGAGCCTCAGGCTGCACGTGCCCAGGAGCCCCGACCCTCTGACAGCACGTGCCCAGGAGCCCCGACCCTCTGACAGCACGTGCCCAGGTGCCCTGACCCCCATGTGGCAGTGCCCAGGCGCCCTGACCCTCCATTTAAGATAAAAAGACAAGGGAGGCTGAGTTGACAAGCTGCCGCACATTTTGCTCGGAGCCCCTGCGGCGCCTGGGAAGCCCCCACCGCCTCCGCCTCCCGGGGCCTTGGTGGCCCGCGCTCCCAGACACATGTCACAGGCACGATCTCAGAAGAGGGAGCGATCCCAGCAGAGCTCCTGATCGGACTCTCTGAGTTGGGAGGATCACGCCACGCTGGCCCAACACGCGATCACAAACCCAAATGATAAGGTTAAGCTCCAAATGGAGTGAGATGGACTGAGTCTAACTTGCGGCTCCTGGACAGGGCATCCCCAGGTACCACCCTGAAGGGCGGACGCAGGGAACAGATGCTTCCCAAGTCTGACCGCTAGTAGGCTTTTATGGGACGCTGCGCGAAGGCATTTTGTGAACTGAATCTCTCATTCCTTCCTCGGGATTCATGAGAGCCTCCCGCGGTGGCTTCAGGGGTTTTTGCTCGAGTAAATCATGAAGCTGGGAAGCTGGAGGGCGATACCTTCTCTCCCGCGCTAGGGACAGGGACAGGGACCTCCCAGCCGCCTTGCTGCGCCAGTGAGTCTGCAAACCATCCACAGGCTTGCTGACGCCGGTGTTGCGGCGTCAAAGGTAACTTTAGAGGGAGGAGCCAGCCAAGGCCTGTCCCTTCTTCCTCTCCTTGGCCTCCAGCCCCACCCAGACGCACCAGCACCAGCCCAGAGCAGGGCTGCCAGGGCACCGGGCATGCTCACCTCTGTGCTCCTACTCTCTGCTCCAACGCGTGCCTTCACCTTGTACTTGGCCACTGAACTTCGCCAGGTTCATCGAGAGCCAAAATACCCAGAGTAAAAGTCCTGCAGTAGCTTGGCATTCAAAGCTTGGCTCATGCGGGCCCAACCTCCTCCGCTCTGGTCCCCACACCCGACCTGTCTGCACAGCCCGCACCTTTCTCTGGCTGGATGCCCCTTCTTTGCAGCCAACATCCTCCAGAAAGATCCTAGCAGCACACTCCTGCCAAGAAACCTTCTTTGGCCAGGCCGACCGCAAGTCTCTGCCCCGGCTGGGAGCACAAGTACCCCATGACCTGCCTGCTTAGATCTGGGGGTCCGTCTAAGAACATACCGAAAATTAGTAGATTCTTAAAATCTCTCCAGTCAAGAAGGGTTTTTTGTTGTTGTTGTCGTTTTCTTAAAAGGCCTGACGCTGTACCCTGAAGCTGGCATGTGCTTGTTACGAGGGTGGGGACACATTAACCCAGCCATCTTACCCTCTGCGCCCTGGCACAGCTCCCAGGGGCCGAAGCGGTCTTTTTAAGTGTCAGAACGTGAAAACGTGAGCTGTTGCTCTGGCTCGCGTCCATGCCACCGCCTCCACGGGCGCAGGGACATGAGCGAGGCTGAAGGAGCCACCGTGAGACCCAGCAGCCCGCGCTCCCGGCACGTTCAGAGATGACACAACCTCATAAAAAGTCTCAAGCAAGAGATGAGCAGATGACAGAAGAAGATAGAAAGCGAGCTCTGAACGAGGAGAGGAATCTGATCAGGAATGTGATCCCGGAGCCCAGAAAGCAGCAGGGCAGAGGCTCCGCAGACCCCTGCTCGGGCCATGCTCAGGAGCAACCACAGAACAACAACAAATAAATGGACAGAGAGAGGAGGAAAGATGTGGAAGACGCCCGGGGACGCATGATGCCCAGACAGCAGAGGCTCCTGAACGGGAGTGAAAGAACAAAATCCTTTGAAAACGGGAAACTGCAAAATATTCCTAAAATCAAAGACCTGCCTGTAAGGTCAAAACCACTCACGGCTCAGGGTGCCTGGGAGCTCAGGCGGCTGAGCGTCTGACTTCGGCTCAGGTCGTGATCTCATGGTTGGTGGGTTTGAGCCCCGCGTCGGGCTCTGTGCTGACAGCTCAGAGCCTGGAGCTGCTTCGGATTCTGCGTCTCCCTCTCTCTCTGCCCCTCCCCCACATACTCTGTCTCTCTCAAAATAAAGAAATAAACTTAAAACACCACACTCACGGCACACTGTGCAGAAAGCAGAGCAGCAGGTGCTGGCGCTCTCCCCTCGGAAGGCTGAGCACCGAAGCCGTGCCCCCTTGCACTTTACGCGACGCGCCCCTCACACCTCCTGCGGTCAGGTCCCCTGCTCCCGGCCTCGCATCCGCACAATGTACACCGTACGGAACATACACTCTGCCACTCTCCTCCTCCCATCGTCCTGCGTCTTCTCTGAGGTGCGTGCAGCTTGCGGCCCCTGCCCCGGGGTGGGGGCAGTGAAGGGGGCACCCTTGCCCTCACAGGGAACACCCAACTGTTGCCGGCTTTCTGCCAGCACCGGAGGGGGGCTCCCTGTCTGGCGTCCTCGCCGGGGCCTGGTGTCCTGACGCTCCAGCGGCGCAGAAACCTCACCATGGTGTCAGCTGACATCGGCCGCAATGCCAACGACACTAAGCATCTATTGACATGGCTGCTTTTTCCCTACATCAAATCTCCACTGTCCTGTGCACCTTGGGTTTTCCTTTTTGATTGGCATTTTCTTTCTTTTTTTTTTTACTATTTCTTACCGATTCATGAGTTGTTTACAAACCCTGAGCAAGAGTCTTCAGGTCCTGGTAACACTGTGGCCATATACCTGCTGCTTTCCTCAGTTCTGAGAACGGTGCCTGCTGGGTAGTACCTCAGAGCCGGCAGCTGCTGCTTTGGATTCTGTGTCTCCCTCTCTCTCCCTCTCTCTCTGCCCCTCCCCTGCTCATGCCCTCCCTCTCTCTCTTAAAAATAAATAAATGTTTCAGTAGAGGTAAAAAGTAAAGGATGCAATCTTCCAGAATATGGGAAAGAAAGGTCACAACAGTTAGAGAAGCTGGTCTGGGAGAGTCTGGTCCCTGATCAAGAGGCGTTCCAGAAATAGAAAACAGAGAAAATAGAGTAGAAATCGCCCAGAAAGGACATGACGTTCCCCCAAAACACAGGGGCCAGGAAGGGCTGAACATGGGAGCCCGGAGACCCCCGCCAGGGCCCACAGAGCACAGTTTTAAAAGACCCAAGTTGAAGAGAAGCTTTTGCCAGCTCCCAGAGAAAATAACCACACAGGCGAAGAGAGACCCAAACGGCACCCAACTTCTCACCCTGGAGGCAATCCTGACAATAGGGACAAAAGTGCTTTCTAGCCTCAAATTTATTTTTCATTCCGCAAAATGAATTATCACATCAAATAAGCCACATCCGCAGGCAGGCCAGGGGCCAAAAATCCACCCTCCGCGAATCATTACTTAGGAAGTCCCATCTCGTGCTTTCGGGCCCTGAGCTCCTGAGACCCTTGGAATTTCCTGTGACAAGAGCCACACAGGTTGTCCTGAGTGACGTGGGGAAGGGCGCCAGGGGACGGCACTGGCCGGCTCGGGAGCAGCTCAGGGAGTTGGACTTTCGGTCCCAGGCCTCAGGCCTGGGCAGGGAGCCGGGCTGGGGGTGGAGCTCAGGGGCCAAAGGCTGACCCTGTTATCAACCTCGCCCATGTAGGAGGCCCCAGAGGACGAGGTTCAGGGTGCGGGGAGCTCCTGGGTTGGTGGCCATGCGGGGACCCTGGGGGAGCAGAGAAGCGCGTGCTCTCCACCCGGCTGTCCAGAGTACGTCGTCGTTGTGCAGGAGAGCCACGATCTAGGAATCGAGCCCGAGGAGGGGCCGTAGGAACCTCTGGAATCTACTGGAAGCCGTGTCCCAGCGAACAAGCCACTCGTCAGAGAGAGACAGTGATGCCGACGCCCGTCAGCCCGGGACAGGGGACAGAAGTCCCATGTGCCCATGGCGGAACGGGGTCGCAAGAACATACGAAACTCCTGTTTTCCCACCTAAGAATACTGACCGTCTGAGAATGTAACGCTGAAAGTTCCATTTCAGCAGCAGCAACAATAAAGAAAAGCAACGGTCACAAAGGGACCTCCTTGCCACGCGGACGGCAGCCCTGGCGCGACTGGCTGGAGCCGAGAAAGCCTGGCTCACGGGGACTCGTGACACGATGCGCCCGACGGCCGTGGCCATTGACGTTTCCGTGACGGCGACAGATCGGCGGAGCAGCAGCATCAAAGTAGCGGTACCTCCACGGCAGGAACCTGTCGCCGGCTCTCACCCCCCGGCCCTGCCCTGGGCCAAGGCCGCGCACGGGGACAACCCGAGACCTGCGAGCTCACCGAGTCCTGGACCAGGGCGTAAACCAGCGCAGCTCCCGGTAGTTGCCCTCGTTGGCCAAGGCCATCTTGGGCCTGATGAGCAGGATCCTCCTGCAGACGGGAAACCCAGGCAGCTCCTGAGATGAGCATGCGGTCATGGGGGCACCCGTGGGCCCACCCGCCCTGAGGTGGAGGGACGACCACAGAGCAGCCAAGGCCCGGCAGCCGTGTGCCAGGCAGGCAGCTGATATCCAGGGGCCGTTAGGGGACCGTGACAGACCACCCTCCCTCCAGTGGCTTCCAGCCAACAGGGCCACGTGTCCCCAGACCACACCCCGTGGTCTCTCCTCTGAAGGTCAGAAAAGCAGTGCCAGAGTCCCCACCCAGGACATCGGCCTTCTCTACGGACCCGCGTTTCCAGAAGGCGCCTCCTAGCACACGGTTCCCGGGGCCCCTCTCCCCGCAGCCACACCTACCTGTTGAGAAATATCACCCTGCAGTTATAGCGGACATTCCGGTGCATCACGGGCCTGCGGAGAGAAGGCAAAACCACCCATGTCTTAATATGAAGTTTCCTCGGGCCCTTGAAGAGGGTCACAAGGCTCCTGTGCGGCTCTCTCAGAGTTAGAAACGAGCCAAGGGCTCTGCCATGGTCTAGGGTCTGAGACAGAAGAGCCTAATGTTTATTTATTTTTAAGGAATGGAGAGAGAGAGAGAGAGAGAGCAAGAGAGAGAGACAGAGCATGAGCAGGGGAGGGGCAGGGAGAGAGGGAGACACAGAATCTGAAACAGGCTCCAGGCTCTGAGCTGGCAGTCAGCACAGAGCTGGATGTGGGGCTCGAACCCACGAACCGCGAGATCATGACCTGAGCCAAAGTCAGACGCTTAACCGACTGAGCCCCCAGGCGCCCCTGGACTCCTCTAAATGAAGCACAGTCAATCCCCCCTCACGGCTCTTCCTCCTCCTGGAACGTTCTCAGACCTGCGAGTGGCTTCCTCCCTAGCTCTCTGCACACACCCGTCACTGTTTCATCTCTGTCCCCTCCTGGCCTCATGCACCAGCCCCGCACCTTCCCAGTCCTGCTTCAGGGCGCCTCCTGACGTGTCACCTGCGCCCCTTGCACAAGGCGGGTCTTCTAGGGGCTGAACAGACGCCCACCACTCGTCGGGACCCCTCCCTGACCACCTCGAGTGCTCCCCTCTGCAGGTGAGGGGAAAGCTCTAGAAGCCGGGTGCTCTGCTGGCTTCTGGCCGGGACACAGCTGCACCGATTAAGGATACAAATGTTCTGTTCAGCTTATAGGTCCAGATAAATGCTACATTTCAAAGGAAAATATCTTTATAAATACGATCGCTTACGTTTTAGGAGCAAAAAGGAGACAAATGCAAACAGGACTATGAACACCAAACCCAGAGAAGGGGGCGAACCAGACGGCCAACCACAGCTACGGGAAGGCGAGAGGCGGTGACAGGCCTGCTGGGCCACTGAGCACAACAGCGGGGACGAGCCCCGTGGCGGCTGAGCCCGCAGCCCGGGGATGCCCGGGTCCCGCACCTCCTGCGGCGCCGACGTGGTAACTAGGTACGGACCCTGAGATGGGGGGCTGCCCTGGACCACCCGAACAGTCCCAGGTGCTCACACGAGGTGGGGGAGGGGTCAGAGCCAGACGTGCAGGAGGAAGGGGAGCCTCTGCGGGCTTCTAAGGTGGAGGAGGCCCCAAGGGGTGAGGTGGCCTCTCCAGGCTGACCCACATTTTCGACTTCTGGCGCCCAGAAACATAACACAAAGTGTTTGTGTTGTTTCTGTGTTTGGCATTTGCCATCATTTGTCACAGCCGCAACAGGGAACAACACAGTCCACGTGTCACCAGTCGTGATAAACGTAGACAAACTGGGTTAAAAGTCCTATGTGTGCGCTGCTTACACTAGGCCTGAGCACGTGTCACAGCGACGTGGAAAATGCAGTGGTGGGTACACGCACGGTACACCTGCGTCCCTGGACCTGCCGCGTGTGCGCCCGCGCCCTCTGCACCCGCCCCGTGTGCACCCACTCCCCTGGACCCACCGCGTGTGCGCCCGCGCCCTCTGCACCCGCCCCCTGCACCCGCCGCGTGTGCGCCTGTGCCCTCTGCACCCGCCCCCTGCACCCGCCGCGTGTGCGCCCGTGTCCTCTGCACCCGCCCCGTGTACACCCATGCCCCTGGACCCACCGCGTGTGCGCCCGCGACCCTGGAACCAGCACTTACATTCCCACGTCGCAGATGATGTCCTGAGTGACTGGAGATTCCAGAAGGGCAGCCAGGACTTGGAGCGAATGCAAGAGGGTGTCCGACTCGTAATAATGATCCCAGCACCCGTAGCCGCTGCAGAGAAGGGAGCAGGCAGGTGAGGCCCAGAAACACACCGGGTTAGGGCGGGGAGGGGGGCCGGGGCCCAGGGACCAATCGGGTCAGACACGCAGGGGCGCACCAGGCACAGGGGTCTTTTTAAAGCCCCCTGGACGAGTCCCCTGTGCAAGCAGGGCTGGGTCACCGCTGGAAAAGAGGACGCGTGTCACACCGGAAATGAGGAGGCCCCAGGGCCTTGCTCCCCACCTTCAGTTACCATGAGAAATTCTCTCTCCTGTCAAGTGTCTGCCTGTAGATTTTTTTTTAACTTTTAATGCAGCACAAATCACACTGATCTACAAGCAAAAGATGCAAAAGAACAAGGCTGGATCCGAAGGAATATGTTTTCAAGCAACGAACACCGTTGACATCATTCCAGATGCCAGTCACAGAGCGACTCCTGGTTCTGGCTACAGATGCTTGTGCTGGAAGCAGGCTGAGTGGTGTCCCCCCCAGAAAGGTGCATCCATGGCCTGGCCCCCAGGACCGTGTAAGGGAAAAGGGTCTTTACAGGGGTCATTAAGGATCTAAAGATGAGATGACCCCAGACGGCCTGGGCAGGTCCTCCATCCGACAGGAAGAAGACATGGAGAAGGGGGTGGGGCGTGTGGAGGCGGAGCCGGAGGGACCTCGGCCACAGAACAAGGCTCTGGGAGCACAGGTGGGAGGAGGTGGGAAGGATCCCCCCTGGAGCTTTTGGAGGGAGCGGCCGCCAGCACCCCGAGTCTGGCCTCCTGAACTGTGTGGGAACGAGTTTCGGTGTTCAGAACCCCCGGCATGGGGAGCAGCGCCACGGGCGGTGGCCCAGCGTGAAGATGGGCGCCAGGGCTGCCTCCACGAGTTTCATGCCCTGGCAGCTCCCAGGCCACAAGTGCCACCAGATGGCAACGCGATGCCAGAGGTCACGGGCCTGATGTCCAGCCGCCGACTGACACCTTGCCCCTGCGGCCGCTGGCAGCTTGAGGGGCATCTTACGGCGGGGGCGGTCACAGGTGCCCCCAGCCCGTCCTGGCCAGACAGCCCTCCATCTATAAAGCCTAGAAACTGGCCCAGAGGACACAGCCGGCCTTTCTGGCAACGGACCTCCAGACCCGCGAGTCATCCTGCCCGCGGCACTGGCCCCCCATTCTCCTAACGAGCGCCCCACTGTTGCAATAATAACTGTGAGCCTGCTCAGCACAGAAACCACATGGAGCCCAGCTCGGCTGGGCCCTTGCCCCTGCTTGATACAAGCCCTGGGTTCGTGGAGCAACAATTCTCTGCCTCGTAAAACGACGGGTCCAGATTTGGAGGGCAGGGGGTGCGGTGGGGAGAGGACAAGGCAAAGGAGGGCGTAGCCTGGGGGTGCCGGGGCAGCGACTACCCTGACCGGGGGACAGGGTGGCGGAGGACAACCCTCCAGTGGGAGGAACAGACAAAACATAAAGCCTGAGACAGGAGCGCAGGAGCAGAGGTCACTCGGATAACTCAGGACCCCAGGGCCCCGGCCACGGAGCATCTTAAAGACCGGTTCGGTGTGAGAAAATGCTCTCGGGTATTGTGGGGAACACAGCCCAAGCTGAAGTCAGGGTTCCAAGGACAGAAGTCAAGCTAGTGAGAAAAGTGACAGATGCGGCCTCAAGGACTCACACCAAGAGACGACGTATATTTATACGGCTCGAGGAGGGACTTCTGATTCCACAAACGGCCAGGACCTGGACACACAAGCGGGCACACAGAGGAGCGCGGAGGGCAGCTGACACATGTCACAGATGGGCCGTGGCTTGTAAGAGACCTGCAGTGTGGCAGCCGGTTGCTTACTTCTGAAGACGGGGCAGGGAGGAACCAGCCTCCCTCTCACCGGAAAAAGGCAGAGCGGAAGTGATCACGTACGCTTGTTCGTGGAAAGATGCGCAGACCAGTAAGCGAAACCTGTGTGTGCCCACCCAGAAGGGTGGCGGCAGACAGAAGTGGCCCAGCCCCAGCTGTGGACCCCCCCTCCCGCCCCCCCCGCTCCCCTAGTCACCTGACACGGGGCTCCACGCTCGCCCGGGCCGGCTGGGTGCCCCTGCAAGGTGGCATTAAGCAGGCCCGCTCACGGCTGACGCCCATACACAGCCCTGCACCTCCACACCTGTCCACCCCCCCCCCCTTGCCTTTCTGCTGCGGGGAGCTGATGCAGACACCTCCACCCGCCCACCCTGGGAGTCCGGTGTGCCGCTCTCACCATATTTCCAGTTCTGGTCCCAGCCTGTATCTCGCTCCTTTGCATTTGGCAATTTCAATACCTACACGTAAAGAGAAAAAGAGCAATTTCAGTGCCTACGACGTGTTCAAGGGCAGATGAAACACAGCTGCAGTAGGTTTGATAAAAAGCCAGACAACAATCAGAAGCTCCTGGCGGTCTCCCTGACCCCAGGCAGCCAAGGACCAGACCCCCCACAGACCCCGCTTACACCCTTAGGAAGCAAGATCCTGATCCTTAGCCCCTTCGGGGCGGGGGAGGAGGAAGTAGTCACTCCCTGGTAGTGTATTAACAAGTGGATGCAGGGAGGAGGCAGGCCTCCAGGGACCCCAGCCTACGGTGGCACCGGCAACCTCCGCTTGGGGACAGCAGCGCCCAGCTGCACCTGCAGACGAAAGGCCGAGAGAAAGGAGCCTCGCTCTGGCCGCCGACCGCCCTGCTCCAACCAGATGCGCTCTGAGCTCTGAGCAGATGAAAGCAGGTGGATGTTGGGGAAAAAAAGAAAAAGGATGAAGGTCTGGAGGCACGTGGTTGAAAAGATGCCGTCCCTTGTGCCGTTCCGTCTTCACTGTTCTTAGCGAACCCTCTTGCGGGAAGCGGCTCAGCACAAGACGGCCAAGGGTGGCCTGAGGGGCGGCGCCCTTCGGATGCAGGTATGAGCCGCTGGACCTTCCACTCTCAAACAGACGCTGATGCCAAGGCTGACTAGCTGGTGGCCTTGCTCAGCCACACCCCAGGGTCTGCGCTTGCAGGCTCACCCCTTTCTCTGCCTCCCTCTTGGGCCGGCCTCTCCCACAGTCTACCCATCAGGAAGATCTGTAGGCACCAGACGCCGTGACAGTCTTCCCGCCGGTGTGTGGGGCTGACTTGCTTCAAGCTCATGCCCTCCTTGCTCGTGACCTAAGTCCTCCTCGGTCTGCAGCAGACCGACCTACTGTCCTTGACGCCTGGAGACCACTGGCCTTGAGGAGGAAAAGACCAGACTCTCCCCGCAGAGAAGGCCTGACTGCATTTGGAAACAGCTGCCGCAGATGCCAGCAAGTCTGCCCAGGGCCATGTCCACATAAGACTGCCCTGCCTCTGCCCAGGCACCTGCTTCTCATGCACCTTCCCCTTTAAACAGCCCCCCCCCCAACTTCCGCCACGGGGAAGATGGCCTTTGACACGTTAGTCCACCTTTTTCCCAGGTTGCCAGGCTCCTCAATAAATCAAAGTTTGCGTTTCTCCTGTCACTTGTCTCTCCAGCAGCCAACCAGGAAACCTGAGTTTGGAGCCGGTTTGGTGCAAGCTAAGCCACACGGGACCCCAGGGTCACCTGAGGACGGGTAAGCCTCGTCCCTTTCATCCCCATCTCTGCCTCCCGGCCCACACTTCTCCTGTCGCGAGTGTACAACACGTGTCCCCACCAGGCATGACAAACCACCCCTAATTCAAGAGGGGCCCTGGGCACTTGCAGGGTGGTCCTTAGGTATCATCTTACCTGTCCCCACGCCCACCCGTACCAGTGCCAAGGATGTGCGTGTAATGGAATCAAGCCAGCCGGGAAGCCAGGACCTTCGCCCCCATCCCAGCGCCCCCCAACCCTGTCTCCCCGCCCCCCAACCCTGTCGCCTCAGTTCCACCAACCCTGTCTCCCCAGTTCCACCGAACCCCGTCCCCGACCCGCCCACCCCCCGTTTTCCCGTCACCCCCCCGTCCCCCTACCCCGGTCCCCCCCCCCACCGTCCCCCCTCGCTGCCCCCAGTTCCACGACCAGCCACCACCCGGCCGCCGCTAAGCTCACTCTTTAAAATCCTCTGCAAATTGCCCTCGAAGTCTAGGGCCCACTGGTTGAGCGCGCAGGTGGCCACAGTCACTTTCCGGCCCATCCCGGCTGCAGGGTCCCGGGCACTTCCGGCCGCGAGCGGGCCCGGCGGGGCCCGGGGGGCGGGGCCGCGGCGGCAGGCCACGCCCACGCCCCGGCCGCCCGCGGCCGCGCCTGCGCAGGAGGAAGGCCCGCCCCCTGCGCCGCACGGACGGCGGCCCCTGGTCCCGGCGCGCAGCGCGTCTGTGTCGCGTACCTGCCCGCGGAGGGCGCGCGTCTCCCTCGGCAGCGTGGCTTTTCCCCGCCTAACGCCAGACGCGCTGTTTCCATGACGGTCTGCCGTTGGTGCTGCGTGGGGGCCCCGAGGCCGAGCGGCCCGACCCGCGCCGGGGACTCCCGGGGGCTCGCGGCGCCGTGTCCGGGGCGCCCGGGGTCCCTTCGGGGCCTGCGTAACGTCGCTGTTGCCACATTTCCTGCCTGTAAACGCTTACAGCGATTTGCTTTCTCTCTTTCGGAGGGCATTTCCTGCGTCAGTTCGTTTAGGGTCGGAATCCAGTGTTTTGCATGTGACTGAAGTAACTCACCGTCGCTGCTTGTGACGCCCGTCTTTTTCTCCCCGCTTGCGATGCTGCTTTTGTCGTACACACGGTTTCACATGTAAAATACATTCCCCCCCGCGGGTGTCGGGGTGGCTCAGTGGACTGAGCGGGGGACGCTTCATTTTGGCTCAGGTCGTGGTCTCAGGGCGTGTGGGATGGGGTCCCCGCGGGGTGTGGCCTGCCTCGCCCTCTCTCCCTCTGCCCTTGATTACCTAAGCGCGTTCTCTCTCTCTTTTAAAACAAACATTTTTCCTATTCATAAAGTAACACATGCTTATAATACGCAGTTTGGAAACTTGAGAACAGCACATGCTAGTTCGCTCAACCCTTGCCAACGCTTCCTTCCTGGTAGCTTTCATTCCCAGAAACGCCTCCGTTTTTGTTCAGGTCTCTGCTCAAAGATCTTTTGCCCCAAACGTCTGGATTCCAGGCCTAGGGTGGGAAAGAAATACACCTCTAACATCTGGTTGTAGCAGGAAATAAAGAAGTGCTCAAAGAATGATGAAGACATGTTATTTTTAAAAAGGAGGGGCACCTGGGTGGCTCAGTCAGTAGGCGTCCAACTTTGGCTCAGATCACCGTCTCGCCGTTCATGAATTTGAGCCCGGAGACAGGCTCTGTGCTGACAGCTCGGAGCCTGGAGCTGCTTCGGACTCTGTCTCCCTCTCTCTCTGCCCCTCCCCTGCTCACTCTCTCTCTCCCTCTCTCTCAAAAAAAAAAATTTAATTTTTTTTAAATTAAAGAGGAGTCACTCCTAAGGGGCTCCTGCTGGCTAAATATTACCCAAAGACAATGTCCTCTTTCGAAAAAAAGATTGATGACAGTATAGGTAGTACACATCTCAGTGAGTAAAAAAGTCCATTAGTCCATACTGACCAAGAAATTAAGAGAGGGAAATCCTTTTCCAAAAAATGTCAACTAGTATGTGTAGAAGGAAAGATGAAATTACGAAATCACCCCTTTACAGGAAGGAATTGATTCAGATAAGAGTCATAATTAAACGCAAGATGACTGGCTGAAAGGTAGTCTGGGAACAGCGTATTTACGTGGTCTCAGAGTTTCAGTCCACGGATTATTTGTTAATCACCAAAGGGAAAATGGAGACTTCTGGCAGAAGCCACCTGATCACACTTACTGTCAGCACCAGGACAGAGGGGCATCCCGCTGCTGCCTGATTTGGTGACTGAATTCACCGCATCATCCCCTCAGTACATTGTCCTGCCCCGAATGCATAACCTAAATGCAAGGGTGAGCAAAACCGCGAAATCCAAGTTGAGAGACAAGCTGCGAAAAGCTAGCCTTGACTCTTCAAAATGGTCGTTATGAAAGGCCAAAAAGACAAAAAAAAAAAAAAAAAAAAGCTAGGACTGTGCTCTAGATAAGGAATGCTAAGGAGCTGTGACAACTAAATCCAAATTCCCAATTGGATCCTGACTTTTATTTATTTATTTTTTATTTCTAGGAGAGAGAGAGACAGCGTGAGCAGGGGAGGGTCAGAGAGAGAGGGAGTCAGATTGAAACAGGCTCCAGGCTCTGAGCTGTCAGCACAGAGCCAGACGCGGGGCTCGAACCCACGAACCGTGAGATCATAACCTAAGTGAAAGTTGGATGCTTAACCGACTAAGCCACCCAGGCGCCCCAAAGATCCTGACTTTTAATAACAGATATAAAGGACATTATTGAGACAATTGGAACAAGCCGAATATGGGCAGTATTAGATAATAAATAGCATCGGACGGGTGCGACATTTCCCGAGTGTAATGCATTTCGTTTTGGTAATGTAAGAGATGGATGCTGAAGTATTTGGGAGGAAGATACCACCTGCAGCGAATTAATAGTGGAGGATAAAAAGTGGGGTAGAGGTGATAGAGAGGAGGAGAGAGAGACGAAATGTGGCAAACCGTTTTCAGCCGCTGCGTCTGCGTCTATGGGTGTTCGCTTTAGTGCGCGTTCACCTGGCTTGTATGTTAACATTTTTCAAAGTAAAAAACTGCAGGAAAAAAAATGTCCCTAAGAGGGACACAGAGATGTGTCAATCAGATCCCTGTGCACACTAAGGCCTTAGTCCCAAATGCCGGGAGTGGGGCCAGCAGCAGACACCTCCCGGCAGGGGCTGCTCCTGCGGCACAGCCGCCCTTCCCAAGGTCATGTCCTTGCAAGGCTGGCCCTGCTCGGTGGCTGTTCACGGGCAGGGGCCCGTGGCTTGGGCATTCCGGTTCAGCCAGATGCCCGCGGTGCGCGTCCCGGCCCCGAGCAAGTTGCGCAAAGTCTTGCGTCGCGGCTCAACTTCTCCCTCCTCCCGCCCCTGCGCTCCCCTCCCTGTCACTCACAGGCCTGTGAGTGAGACCCCGACCCTGAACGCCATCTCCCTCCCTTCTGGGGAACCCGACCTGGAGGCCTCCGGCAGAGCCCCCTCCCCACATCCCCGCCTCCGCCAGCGGCTCCCACGCTCGCCCTCTCCCGCCCGGCTCTTACCCTCGCCGCACCACCTTCGGTGTCTGACACCATATCTGTTTGATTATTGTTCATTGATTACTGCTCCCCTCCCCCCAACGTGAGTCCAAGAGCATCAGGGATGTTGTCGGCTACGTGGGGGCTGCGGACCCGACGCCGGGCACCCCAGATGCTCAGGAAGGGCTTGCCGCGCATCTGCGAGGAAAGCGAGGCGCGGGGGAAGCAGCGCGGCCGCGGCCGCGGAGGACGGGGCGCCGGCCCGGCGCGCGCTCAGCGGGGCTCGCGCAGGTGCGGGGGCGGGGCTCGCGGCCGGCGGGCCGGGGGCCGCGGGGGCGGGCGCTCGGCCGTCAATCTCGCGGCCCGAGGGCGCCGAGTGGCGCGTGCGGTGGCCCGGAGTCAGCCCAGGGGGTGGGGCGAGGCGCGCGGCCAATCGCGGGTCTCAGGGGCGCCGGCCGCGCCGAGGCCGATTGGTCGCTGACATGTCATCCTGGGGGCGGGGTTTCGGGCGCGCCGGGCTTTCGGGAGCCCCCCGAGGCCGGGACTCGTGCGCACGGGCGCGCTCGGAGCGGGACGCTCAGGTGAGCGGCGCGGGGCGGCGGGTGGGGGGCGCCGGCCGGGGGCCCGTGCGCAGGTTGGGGAGGTGCGCACGCCGGTGAGCGGGCGGGGGTGGTTTAGTCTCAGAAGCGCCGGCCCCCAGCGCCCCGGTCTGAGGGTCGTGTGCCCTCTTCGCGCCCCCCTGAACTCTTCCAGCGGCCTCTTGGGCAAAGAAACAGGAACTGGGCGCCCCGAGGCGCCACACTGGGTGCTCAGATTTAAGGCACGGGCAGCGAGGGGCAGCCCGGCGCAGTGAAGGCGACCTTTTGTGTGCTCTAGGTAGGGGCACAAAATGCCCTGCTCTTTTTTTTTTTTTTTTTAATATTTTTATTTATTTCTAGGAGAGAGAGAGAGACAGCGTGAGCAGGGGAGGGTCAGAGAGAGAGGGAGTCACAGACTGAAACAGGCTCCAGGCTCTGAGCTGGCAGTCAGCACAGAGCCCGACGCGGGGCTCGAACCCGCGAACCGCGAGATCATGACCTAAGCGAAAGTCGGACGCTTAACCGACTAAGCCACCCAGGCGCCCCTACAAAATGCCCTGCTCTTTCTGAGTGCAGTTGCGAATTCCGTTTTAATAACTGGTTGAGTAGTCTGGGTTTTTTTTCGTTTTTGATTTTTATTAAGATACATGAGTGCTTGGGGTATGGCGATGACGCGCAGGGGCACGGAGAGCCTGGTGTGAAGTTCAGAATACCTCTGGTGATAACGGCTAATCTTCCTGGGGGCCGTGCCAGGTACTGTTCTCGCAGGGGACAGAAGCGTTTCTTGGAACCTTATCTGAACAGCACGGGGTCTGGTTTGGACATTTGTTAGCCTCAGAGTAATAGAGACTGAAAAATACAGACCTGCCCAAACTGAACGTAAAATGAAAAAGGATGTTAAAGAGCAGAGTCAGTGAGGGGCCGATCCGCTGCTCTCCTGGTGTGAAGACAGGCGGCCAGGTAGACCTGCCCATCCGCCCAACTTGTAGGAATTTATCCGGGGTCGTGTTCAGATGGTTGTGGAAACAGGCAGATGTGAGAACTGCCATTGTGATTTGCTCTATATGCTTGCAAAGCACCGGAAACAACTAATGACTGTCCATGCGAGGGTTGGGTAAATAACACACCCGTGCTGTGGGGTACCTGGCGACTGTTAGAGAGAGTGGACTCAGCGTGGAGACAAGGCTCCTGACCTGTCACAGCACGAGGGACAGGAGGGAGATGGTCTCTCGTGAAAAAGACACTTAGAAAAGCTCTACACCAGAGCCTTAAATCGTGATGGGCATATAGGTGTTCTTTTCCTATTTTTCCAGAAAACATACTCCTGTGATAAAATAATTTAGCAGCAACGTAAAGAGGTTTGAAACAGCTCTTGGAGTCCTGAGACCCACGGCTCTGGGTTTGTGAATTGTGGCTCTAATGGGGGTCAGGAAGGTCACCTGTGCCTCCCCGCCACCATTCCCAAGGCATGGCGAGACTGACCTTTGGGGTGATTCTTGGGTTATCTGCAGCTTCTCTATGAGCCCCCCCCCCCCCGCCCCAGCACCCCCCCCGGGTCCCTCTGCAGGCTGTGGTCATTCCCTCAATCACGAGTGCGATTCACAAGCCTCACTTGGCAAGTACAGTGGCTGTTTTGGAGATATGTGGCCTCTTGAAGCTCTTGATGCTGGAAAGCTCTGGCCTGGCTCACCTTGAGAGGACCGAAGTCCCGGATGGGGCACAGCAGAGCCACTCCCAGGGCAGAGTCTGAGGCCTTCAGATATAGGCATGTGCCCCAGGTGGGCAATGTGCAGGGATGCAGCGCCCCGAATTTGAATGCTGAGCTGCAGCTTTGACCGTGGCTCCCGGGATTCTGCCTTCCAGAAGCTAAAATACAGGCTCACTGTAAGACAAGTTTAAAAATCAAACGTGCAGGCACCTGCCTCTCTTCTTCCTCTAGTGTGACCCCAGGAGCCATTAACATCCGTCCCCGTAGGCCTGTGTGAGCAGAGAACTCACTCCACCTTCTCACCTCAGTCTTCTCGTCTGTAAAATGGACGTCATACCGCCAACTCTCCAGGATGGGTGTGCAAGCTCTGTGAGATAATGGGCACTTGGACTCAGTAGACGCTCAGCAAACAGACATCATCTGTAAAAGCTGAACCATCTGGCGATGGCCCCAGCTGTATCTCACATTCTTCTAATATCTTGCGACGCCCCCCATTGAGAGCTGGAGATGGATTCTCTTCCCCCTGAAAGGAGGTGGGCTTGCGACGCTCTGTAACTGGTAGAGTGTACTGGAAGTGCTGCCCCTGTCTTCTCAGGGCCTCAGAAGAGGCGGCGCAGAGCAACTCTGCGTGTCTGCGGGAACCCCTGCTGGTTCCCTGAACCCCTTTCTGCTGTGCTGAGGCCACCGTGCCGTGAGGGCGTCCTGGCCAGCCCACACGGACAGGCCACGTGAAGGCAGCTGCCCGAACACATCCCAGCCCACAGATCCTGACAGTGTCCCCAGATTCCTGACCTCAGAAGCAACGAAGAATGGTAAAAACAACTGTTGTTTGAAGCCACCGAGTCGTGGGAAGCCTCTAGGGCTGGCGCTGCGCTGCGGGTGCATTCCCCCCCCTTCCCGGTGCCCTGCATATGCCCCGCTGAGCCTTCCTGAGCCGTGATGGTGACCACAGGACCTCCGTGGCATTGACTGCACCAGCCCCCGGTGGCCCTGGTGTCTAGTGCATCCCCAAACCGCTACCCCTTCAAGAGGCCAAAAAGCTGCCAAGGGGTTTAAGTCACATCTCTTGGGTGGGCCTCAGCCTCTAGACAGTGGTGCTGTGGCCTGGGAACGCCCGAGGACCCTCCTAGGCTTGTATTCCCGTGGCACCCCTCCCCCCCCCGCATGGCTGGATTGTCTTTTGTGTCCCTATAATTGCAGGACCCACCTTAGCAACAAGGAGCTCCAAGGAGCGAGGTTTATCACTCACAGGGCCTGGAGGGTACGCAGAATGCCCAGAGCCACGGCGAGGTCACTGGGGGAGAGAGGGGAGAGAGTGGGTGTATAGACCTGGGGCTCTGCCTTCATTAGGGTCAAGGGCCTGGGGTTTCGTGGGTTCACCCTTTATTGGCCAGTTTAAGGCCCAAGAGTGGGAATAAAGGCTTGGGAAGAAGGGAAGCCATGCTGTGGTCAGCCAGCTTGGTCACCTAGGGCTTTCTGAAAGGGGACCTTCGTGGGTGGGAATGGCCTGGCTTCTCTGGTTGTGTTGGCTGGTAGCCGGGTCCAGCAGCAGCAATATGTTGATTTGGGATGGATGTCTTGGCCATGACTGCCTTGGCCATCAGAAGCTTGAGGTCAGGCACTTACACTGCATCATCCTTGGACCCTCAGGGGCCACATCCTTTGGCCTGTGGAACTCAAAAACCAGTTGAGGGAGCTGACCAGGGTGCTGGGAGGACCCATGCATTTCCCTGGCTCATCTTTATCCCCAGGTGTGGGACACCATCCCTCCCTCATCCAGCTTTAGCCGATCCTCGTGCCCATAGGCATTCATGACCCAAGACACTCAGGAAGGTCACTGGGTCCCGTGAGTGTACAGAGAGCCAGGCTCCAAGCCCAGATCACTCTTACTGGCTCCTAGAATGTACCAATGGAATGTGCTAACTCTAGGGGGCTTGATTCGGGCTGATAGCATGCATACACAAGCTTCTAGAAATGTTTCTGAGGCATATGTGGTTGCTTGGTGTAAGTCTTCAAAGGAAATACCTTTTGGTTCATGTGCTGTTCATCAGGTCTGCATCTGCCTGTTAAGGCTCACATCCAAGGTGACGCCTCCATGGAGACCTGCATTCAATCCCACCCGTTATCATCAAGTCTCTACCATTTGCCAGACACTGTGTGCACCAGGCAAGGAAGCAGGGTGGTAACGCTCCCTTCCTCCTCCACACCCGTGTGGGCTGTCTTCTGCTTTTGAACTCCTGAATACTGACCTTGTACTCTCAGGCCTTGAATAAATACCTTATGGGTCCTAATCTGCCTTCAATCCAGAAATGTGAGCAACCTGGTGTCTTTATCATCTTTGTGTTCCTCAGGACGTTGTTCAGCGGGTTGGGAAGGATCAAGCAGGCCTTCTGAATTGTAAGAGTCTAGAGATTTTAGAGCGGCCTGTTCAAGAAGGAAGACTTCCATTCTGCTGTGAAACCCCGAGACAAGAGATTGGAGGTAAGCGTGTCTCAGCACTATTGTTCATGGGCACAGACGATGACTCTTTTGCCCTGAAAAAGTAGGCAGCTAGTACATCAATTCCTGTCTGTGAGTCTTAGGAATAAAATAAAATACGCCCCAAATGCCTCCCTCTCCCGTTTCCAGCTACCTTTTGCCAAGGATATGACTTACACCTTTATTACAAGATTCAGTGCTTATGACTGAGGGGACTCCTGGGTGAATGAATTCTGTAATCTCAACATACTTATTTGGGCTTATTTTAACCTGTAGAAGGTACACTTTTTCCTTTTGGCAACATTTTCTGTTTGGCTTTTCCACGCTTAGTTCTTTTTTTAAAGTAGGCTCCATGCCCAACGTGGTGCTTAAACTCAAAATCTGAGATCAAGCATCATATGCCCCACCGACGGAGCGAGCCAGGCACCCCTACCACACTTAGTTCCAAGTCTGTATGTTCCTGGCCGTTTTGCAGTTTTCTACTGTGTCCAATCAAAGTGACTGCCACGCACCAGGCTCTCTATTTGGTTTTGGGGCTGTAGAGATGGAAGGTCTTCATCCTGCCTCATACATCATAGACAGACATTCCATAAGCCAACCTGTGAAAATTAAGTGATAACAGGTACAGTTCCCACACTGCAAATGAAAATGCCTTTGTCACTGAAAATTTTTTAATGAGTGTAAGTTTATATGAAAGTAACTCATGTTTACTTTTTCCAAGAGAAATTAGTGTTCAAAGGTTTATACGTGGAATAAACAGCTCCCTACTCCATTCCATAGTCTTAGTTCCCAGAAGCAAATACTTTTCCTTTTCTTAGTTGCTTCTGTGTTGCTGTTTTTACCTGCTTATTTTTAGATGATTTGCTTTTATCACTCCCAACTTTTCATGTCCTTCTACATCCAAACATCCAACAGTTGGTCTGTAGCCAGATGTTACATTGTTAGGACAAAGTTGCTATCATCTACTGTTAAACCAACTAAGTGTAACAATTACGGTTTGTTTTTCCCCCCTTACATGACTTTTTATTGTTCCTGGAGTTCATGATTGCCTCACTTTTTCCATTTACTAAGGTTCTTATGCATCTGTCATTATTTTTTTTCTGAATGCTATAACAGAGCTGTCATACACAATTTTTCTATACACTCTAACACAATAAAATTCATGATTTCCATTTTCCCTTCTACTATAACCATTTATTTTGTACCAAGGTGGACTGGTTACTGTCTGGTGCACTGCACAATTCTCATCCCCTCATCCTTTCATTAGACTTTCTTTTTGTAGCTTTCTTGGATCCTGTGTCTTCTTTGAATAATAATTAACCTGGGAATGGAATTCTAGGTTGCAAAAAAGTTTCCCTCAGAGTTTTTAAAATTTTCCATCATTGTCTTCTAGAATCCAACTTGTTGTCGGTATAATTCTTAATCCTGGATTTTTTAAAGTGTTTATTTATTTTGGGAGGCAGGGGCAGAGAGAAAGAGGGAGAGAGAGAGAATCCCAAGCACGTTTCACTCTCAGTGCAGAGCCCGACATGGAGCCTGATCTCATGACAGTGAGGTCATGATCTGAGCCAAAATCAAAAGTCTGATGCTCAGCCGACTAAGCCACCCAGGTGCCCCTCTTTTAGAACTTTTCTCTAAAAGCCTTTAAAATCATGTTTTCTTATCTCCGATATTAGAACTATTCTGGAAGTGTAGACGTCACTGCTTCCCCCATGGACTAGTTTAGTTCTTCCACCTTTTTTAAGAGTGATTATTTATTGAATGCACTGTTCTAGGACTCGGTAGTGGAGCAATGAATGGACACATGGCTCCTGCCCTTGGGGAGCTTACATTCCAATGGAGAGAGACAGACAATAGACATGCACTCAAATAAATTAAAGAATTCTACATAATGAGAAGATAAGGAAATAAACTAGCAGGTAGAGTGCCTTGGCAGGGGACCTGGGGTACAGGCAATGTAGATTCACTGATTGGCTTGTACATTGGTTCAAGATGAATGGCTATGGGGGAGGGAGTGATGGAGATGATAAATTTTATTGTGTTCAAGTATATAGAAAAATTGCTGACATGCACAATAGCTCCAGTGGAGCACTGAGAAAAAACATTAGCAATAGATGCATAGAAACTTAGCAAATGGAAAAAGTGGGGCAACCATTAACTCCAGGAAATATAAAAAGTCACACGAAGGAGGGGACATTTTACAAAAGACCTGAATGAGGAGATCTGCAAATTATGTTCTGGGTAGAAATAGCAGGTGTCATGAATGAGAAGAACCTTATCCAAGGAGCATTAAAGACCCTGTGTGCCTGTATTGGAAAGTACGAGGAGAGAGTGGGGAGGAAAGCAGGCAGGAGTGGATCGCAAGAGGGTTCTGAGTCCTGGATGGCCCGGTTCATGCCGTAAGAGGGCATTCTGCTGTAATCTGGAGAATTAATCAAGATAAACGAGAAGTAGGAGGGCCAAGTAGGAGGTTATTGCAGCTGTCAGGAGAGAGAGAGAGATTAAAGTACAATCTATGATCTCTTCCCTGCCTGGAGTCTGCCATCTAGGAGAAAGTAGTGAGTAGGCGAGTAGAAGAGGCAGTCCTGCAGAGCCTCTGAGCAGGGGCAGATGTGGGAGATAATGGTAGCTGTTCTTCATGGGACAATCTGAGTGGGATGTGTCTTCTTCCCTCAGGGCCCAATGGCTGCAAAATCCCAGCCCGACGCTCCCAAAACCAAGAGTCCGGGCAGCATCGACAACAGTGGGGCTGCCACTCAGGGCCAGTGGGGCCGTGCCTGGTAAGGATCTTGCCAGTCTTCCAGCTAGAAAATAGAGCGTGGTCTTAGACAGAGGTGGGCAGCCCTGGGGATTTTATGGACCTATTAAAAACAATTTTTATCATTAAGACTATTGAAACATAAGCCGTATCCCGTTTTGTAAAGTAAGGAATTGGAGAAGCAATGAAAAACTGGCTAAAACAGGCTGGCTCTGGCCGCACGCCGCGCCGTTGTCTTCGTTCTCCTTGGACCGGAGAGCGTGCGACTCGGGAGTGGGTGAGGGGCCCCTGCAGCCCGAAACCGGAGAGCCTCTGGCCTTGTGGGTTATGAAAGGCCTCCCTGCATTCGTATTCGGGCTCGGGGCTTCCTGTGGGCGCCCACAGGTCCGTCAGCCTCCCTGGAGCTCGCGGTAGAGGGCACATGTTGAGCGGCTCCTCCAGGCAATGGGGAGCCCTCTGCCCTGAGAGCGAACAGCTATTTTGAACAACGGGACCCATATGCACATGCAGTGCATTGTCGGTGAGGCCACGGGGGCAGGCGGGCCCGGCGTGACCGTCCGCCATATGCTGTTGCAGGGAGGTGGACTGGTTTTCGCTGGCCAGCGTCATCTTTCTGCTGCTGTTGGCGCCTTTCATCGTATACTACTTCATCATGGCGTGTGACCAGTACAGCTGCTCCCTCACTGCCCCCGTGGTGGACATCGCCACCGGGCAGACTCGTCTCTCAGACATCTGGGCCAAGACGCCGTCTGTGACAAAGAAGGCGGCCCAGCTCTACACCTTGTGGGTCACGTTCCAGGTCAGCCTCCCCGGCCACGGTGGTTGGGGCACAGCAGGTGTGCAGCGTCCCTCCTGCTGGGAGAGTCCTGGCTGTTTGTCCGGGAAAGGGGATCTTGGCTCGGGTCAGCACTCTCCCTCCCGGAACCCAGCAGGGCATCGCCTGAAGCCTGACCCACTTAACTCTGTCTGTCGCCAGAAGGCACCTGGCAGCATCACGGTGTCCAACAGGCCTTCAGTGTAAGCCTGCCCGTAGCTCAGGGCATGTGCTGCCCCGCGGAGACATGCTGACAAGTAGGGAGCCAGATCCTGTGGGAGGGTGTGAGGCAGGGCTGGCCCAGGGAGGCCCATGCGCCGTAGGAAGCGTATCTTAGCAGTAGTCTCGGGGAAGGAGCACTCCGGCCCCCGGAGTTATGCCGAGACCCCACTCGTCAAAGCCAAGGCCTGTGTTCCCAGCACGTGGCTACACGGTCCTGGCCAAGGACCTCCTTCACTCCGTTGTGACCCCACTGGCCTTTGAGACCAGAAGTTTGCCAGGAAGGGGCTGTTTGCACAGGGAACCTGGTGAACAGATAGGGCTGTTTAGCATCTGAATCCAGGGAAACAGTGCCGGGAGAAGGCCCCCCACCCCGGGCTTCCTGCCCCGGAGGAAGGCCCCAGCCATTCACCACGGTTCCTCCTCTGGGTCCCAGCTTTTGGGCTTCAGAGCCCCTCTCGTTCCTGGCCTCTTGGTCCCTTTGGGTGAAAAAATGAGCAGGGGCAGCAGGGATCACAATAGCCTAAGGGCAGAGACACCAGTGGCCGAGTGGCTCAAACAAAACGTGGTCCATCCACGCAGTGGAACGTTACTCCGCCGTCTAGAGGAAGCACTCACCTGTGGATGGACCTTGAGAACATTCGTTGAGTGAAAGGATCCAGTTACAGAAGGACACAGGGCGCCGTGGTTCCATTTATGCAAAACGCCCAGGGTGGGAAAGTCCGTAGAGACAGAAAGTGGGTTAATGGTTGTTGGGGGCAGTGGGGGGGTTGGGGAGTGACTGCTAATGGGGGTGGGGTTCCCTTTTGGGGTGATGAACATGTTCCGGACAGCGTGCTTGCACAGCTTGTAAATGCGCTGAGTGACACTGAAAGTGTCTGAAAGGGTGACTCGTATGGCACGTGAGCTCTTGCCTGTTTATAAATGGCTCCAGAGACGTGAGTGGGAAGGGCTCGTGGCTTCTCCTGCGGGGAGACTGCATTGCTGCTTTGGGCCAGTAAGGAACTTCCTGCTCGGGGCTCCTCCCCCTTCGGAGCCCCGGCCGGCCTGCAGCCAGGGCGCGCAGCGCCGCACACACTCCTATGGAAGGAACAACCGACTGTAATCTGGATTCTGCCCTGGGTCATGTCAGTTAATGAAAGCAGGGTTTTGTGGACGTAGCCTGGCCCCCCAGGCCGTGGGTCAAGCAGCTTAAAATCCCCACTGCAGGTGTTTCTGTACTTGGCGCTGCCTGACTTCTGCCATAAGTTTCTGCCCGGCTACGTGGGAGGCGTTCAAGAGGGTGCCGTGACCCCCGCAGGTAACCTGAGGCCGCCGGCCTCCTCCTCCTCCTCCCCCTGCCTCTGTCTCATGGGCCGTGCCCTCACCCAGGCGGCTCCCATCCCCCAAGTGTGCTCACTGAACAGAGTGGAAGTGGATTTTGCGTGGGCCTTGCCTCAGCCCCGGGCCCCCTTTGTCTCCAGGGCAGTCTGGGACTGGCCCAGCCATGAGGCTGAAGGTCAGGTTCTTTGGTGAACAGAGGCCTGAGTGGTCCCCGGCCCCACAGCTGGTTGACGTAACTGGGCTCCTGGAGCATCCACCAGTGGCTTCTGGGTGGGGCTGTTTAGGTCACTGAGAGCCCGGGCGGAGCCCTGCCGGGGGATGCCACCCTGTCCCTGCCCTCAGAGAGCCCCCAGGGCAGCGAAGGGCTGTGGGGCATGCTGACAAGTGCGTTAGGGGCACCCCCACTCCCTCGCAAACTGCAGGCTGGGTACCCAGCCGGAGCTCGGCTAGGGAGACTCCAAACCAAAGGACGAGTCTGTCCCCTTTGCGTCTTCTGAGGACCCCGAAAGCAGGAGCAGCTCATCCCTGGAGTAATAGCTGCCTGCTGGCATTTTGACCTGGGGCACCCATCCATCTAACCCATCCATTCATCCACCTAACCCATCCGCCTAACCCATCCACCACTCATGCACCTAACCTATCCACCACCCATGCACCTAACCCATCCACTCACCCGCTCACCCATCCATCTAACCCATCCACCACCCATCCACCTAACCCATCCACTCACCCGCTCACCCATCCATCTAACCCATCCACCACCCATCCACCTAACCCATCCACCACCCATGCACCTAACCCATCCACCCACCCACTCACCCATCCATCTAACCCATCCACCCACCCATCCACTCAGTTGTAGGGGAAGCTGACCAGCTTCTGGGCTGCGGCCTGGGTGTCCCATACAGGCCCCGGAGCCACCGAGGCCCAGGGAGCGAGTAGGCCCAGCTGACTGCTGTTTTCGGGAGGAGAACCACTTTGATGTTTAAACCTTCACTCCACAGGAGTTATCAACAAGTATCAAATCAACGGCCTGCAAGCGTGGCTCATCACGCACCTTCTCTGGTTTGCAAACTCGCACTTCCTGTCCCTCTTCTCCCCCACCATCATCTTTGACAACTGGATCCCGCTGCTGTGGTGCGCCAACATCCTCGGCTATGCGGTTTCCACCTTTGCAATGATCAAGGGCTACTTCTTCCCAACCAATGCTAAAGATTGGTACGTTCTCCAGTGGCTGATCAGGCCTAACGTGGAATGTGGCTGCTTCCACCCCTTGCCTTTCTCTGTGACCTTGGGATGGGAGGTCGTCAAGTCCTGAGGATTGAGAATCCTTGAAGGGGGAGCCTAATGGAACTCGCTCGATTCTGGGGAACACCCCTTCTAAATGTCTGGGGGCCTTCTGCCTTAGGAAGAATGCAGTTGAAGGCAGCCAAGTCTGTCGTTGGCCGAGTCGTCACCTGTAGGGCTGTCATGGGAGCAGGGAAGCAAGAGGCAGCCCATTGCTCCCGTCTCCGGAACATGCGTGTGGCCTGGAACAGGTTTAGTGAGGAGTCTTGTTATCTCAGTGGCTTCAATGTAGGAGCTTCCCAGAGAGAGCCCTACTGGTTGGTGCCTTCTCATGGTAGTCTTGGGTTGGACAGTTGTGCTCCCCCCAGCCAGGCATCTCTTCATCTAGCTCTTTATCCATCCACCCACTCATCTATCTATAACCCATCCACCCACCCATCCATCCTCTGTCCACCCAGCCATCCATCCACCCATTCACCCATCCATCTAACCCATCCACCCACCCATCCATCTACCCATTCACCCACCCACCCACTCATTTGTCTAATCTGTCCATCCATCCATCTACCCACCCACCCACCCCTCTATCCGTCTAACCTACCCATCCACTCATCCTTTTAATCAATCCATCCATCCATCTACCTACCAACCCATCCACCCATTCAATCCATGTATTCTATTCATCCCACCTCCTCATCCACCTTTCCACCCCATCCTTCATCCCTGCCTCCTTCAACCCCTTTCTCCACCCCTCCCGCCACCAACAGACGTTGGTTGGGTTCCTCCTGTAGGTGGGTGCGTGCAGTCACAAACAGGATTCTTGTGCTCGGGTGCCTGCAATTTAGTCCCAGATACATTTAGGGGCCCAAATAAAAACAAAGTGTGTTTCCTTTCACTGTTGCTCTTGGGAGATGTCTTTGGATGATGGTGCTTTGTGGTCTGCGTGGTAATTGGGTAATAAGGCTGCTCTTCTGTGGCTCACGCTAATCGTTTTCGCTGCTTTATAACCAATCACCTGTTGTAGACTTTGTATATTTTGCATTTTTTACTTAACTGAGGCAAGTGTACATGAAAATGTTTTTGTCATAAACACAGAAACCCCTATGTGTCTGTAAGTTATACCCGAGGAGGGCATCCACATCAGTCATCTTGGCTGACTTCACCCCTGGGGAGGCTCTGGGTCAGCGGCCAGGGCAACGAGTGCCCGGCCAGGGCTAGTGCTGGGTGCTGGAGCCTGGCACGTGGCTCTGGACATGCTACCCTTGCTCCCTCTCTACCTGGGCAGGATTGATACTTTCATTTGCCCACGGGGGCCTGGGCACCAGGAGCCACTGCAAACTGCATGCTTGGCAGCAAAATTAAATCTTCGTGACGTCAAGCCAGTTAGGCAGCGCAGCCATGCCAGGCCTTAAGGTGGCCTGCAGGAGGGTCGGGGGAAGCCCGGCCGGTGGAAGGAAGGCGCAGTCTCTGCCCTTTCCTGATGCAGCGAGCATCTCGGGTGCCGTGTCTCAGGGTGGCTGTGCCGGGCCGTAGCCGAGTGCCAAGGGACAGCAGGGAGGCCGTGGGGAGCGCGAGGGACCGGCGGGTCCTCCGGCTGCGTGCATCTCTGAGCTGACGCAAGGGTGGGCTCAGCACACGTATCTGTGCGCGCGCGCACACACACACACACACACACACACACACACACACACACGCTTTCGGGCCCCGGGTGACGTGCTCCTTAGCTAAGTGTATCTGTCGTTTCTATTTTCAAGCAAATTCACAGGCAATTTCTTTTACAACTACATGATGGGCATTGAGTTCAACCCCCGAATCGGGAAGTGGTTTGACTTCAAGCTCTTCTTCAACGGACGCCCTGGGATCGTTGCCTGGACCCTCATCAACCTGTCCTTTGCGGCCAAGCAGCGGGAGCTCCATGGCCAAGTGACCAACGCCATGGTCCTGGTCAATGTGCTGCAGGTAGCCCGTCCGCGGCCACGGGGCAGGGAGCTCCCGCGCTCACTGGGCCCCGGGAAAGTCTCAGGGCCAGGCGGTTCTTGGAAAACCTTAGTCCACGGCTTGTAGAAGAGAGTCGGCCCCCTTCCCAGGCCTCGCCGGACCCAGGACCTCCTTCCCCAGAGATGCCAGTTAACAGCCCAAGCGTGTCCGTGGTCCTGGCCACGTTCACAGTTCACGGCCTCGGCACTGTTTTCCCCATGTGGTCCCGTGGGTCTCAGGTGGGGCACAAGGGACCGTGATTCATTTTCACCTCTTGCCCACCTGTGCACAAGGACGCTGATCATCCGGCCACGCCACATGTGTCGCGCTGCAAGGGCAGCCACGCCGGCGTGGACCCTGGCGGGGGGTGCACCTTCCCCACGGGCTGTCCCCGGCACCTCCACTGTGAGCGCCACAGCCTGGGTGTCACCAGCCGGGGCCCTGCCGGGTGCCCCTCTCTCGGTCACTATTTGTGGGCCCTCGTCCGCTTAGACTGCAGACCCTCTGAGGCTAAGGGCTCCCTTGCTGGAACCCCAGGCCCCCCACGTCCCGGACATGGGGGAAACGTGGGAACAGCCCCGGGGAGCCCGTCACTGAAGAGCTCAGCGACTCCCACGGGCCACCTCACCTACACGGGTGTGGTTTTCCCGTGGACCCATCGGTGGCCGCGGTCAGCACACGGCTGTCCCTGTTCTACAGGCCATCTACGTGCTGGACTTCTTCTGGAACGAAACCTGGTACCTGAAAACCATCGACATCTGCCACGACCACTTCGGGTGGTACTTGGGCTGGGGCGACTGCGTGTGGCTGCCGTACCTGTACACGCTGCAGGTGAGGACATGGCGTGGCAAGCCCTCCGGATGCGGTTCGTGGCCCCGCGGGGCATCGGCTGCTTGGTCCCCAGGCACGCCCAGGGCTGCCCTCGGCGGACACGGCTGAGCACGTGCTGAGAGTCCCTCTTGCACTAGCGGTGTGCTTAGGGGACAGCAGAGGCTGGGGACGGGAGGCCGTCCTGTTTCCAGGAAGAAGAGCAGGCTTGGTGTATTAGTGAGCTTCGTCCCCAGTCCTGAAGGCTGGAGCCCAGGTCCAGATGTGGGTGGGACCTGGGCCCCCGAGGCCTCTCTCCTCGTGTGGACGGCCGTCCTCTCCCCACGTCCTCACGGGGCCGTCCCTCCGTGTGTGTCTGTGTCCTGATGTCCTCCTCCTCTTTTTTTATGTTTATTTGTTTATTTTTGAGAGAGAATGAGAGACAGAGCATGAGCAGGGGAGGGGCAGAGAGAGAGGGAGACACAGAATCCAAAACTGGCTCCAGGCTCCGAGCTGTCGGCACAGAACCCGACGCGGGGCTTGAACCCACAAGCCGTGTGATCATGACCTGAGCTAAAATCGGAGGCTCAACTGACTGAGCCCCCCTGGTGCCCAGATCCCCTCTTCCTACAAGGACCCCGGTCACACGGGATCAGGGTCCACCCCGGCGACCTCATGTCACCTGGATTACTTTAAAGATCCCATCTCTAGATATGATCACATTCTGGGGTCCTGGGGGTCAGGGCTCCAACATAGGAATTTGGGGGGGACCCAGCTCAGCCCCTGACACTTAGATGGATGGCAGGGTATAGGCTTCAGGTAGAAGGAATAATTTGGCTGAACTGGGTGATGGGGGGTGGTGTTCATATTCACACTTTTTCAGATCTTAATGCTTGAAGGAAAAGAGGATTTCTTACCTTTTTTTGTTCCTTAAATACTTCACGAGGGTCTGTGTGGTACCAGGCACATGACAGGGATGCAGGAGCAGAGGAGATGTGCGTGGGCCCTGCCCCCTTCGGGCTCATGGCTGGCAGGAGAGGCCAGGAAGCAGGCCAGGCAGCCAGTGTGGGGAAGGGGTGCCGGAGGGAAGCGGGGCGGTCGGCTCCTGAGCGAGGGCCGGAGGACCCTGCTGCGGGCGGTTGGCAAACGCATCCAGAGATAACCACGGCCTGGCTGAGAGCAGACGGCGAGGCTGGGGGTGTGGAGTCCCAGCGGGGGTGCTGGCACGTGCTGTTACTGGACGGGGGGTTCAGGAGCCGTCGGGCCGGGGCTCCAAGGGGGAGACCCTGTGCCGAGGAGCAGCAGGCTGGAGTCCTCGGTGCGGGGGGGGGGGGGGGGGGGGGGGGGGGGGGGGGGGGGGGGGGGGGGGGGGGCGGCCCGCATCGCAGAACCGAGGTATTGAAGCGCTGGCCTGGGGAGCCACGGGGACCAGGTTTCACGCCCGGAGGGAGGCGGCCTTGAACGGCCCCAGACATCCCGGGAAAGGTGGGCAGCGCTGCATCAGTCACGGCGGGTGAAGCCGCGAGGGGGCACTGAGGCGGTGCTTCGTGCTGCGGCTGGGCCACTCCGTCGCTGCCCCCATCCGCCCGCCCTGTGCACCACGCAGAGCTGCCTCGGGGGCAGCCTGGGGGCAGGGGGGCTTCACCATCTGGCCCCCTCACCCTCGCAGCTCCCACGAGAACCCCAGCTCTGCTGTGCTGGCAGTGGGGGGGTGTGGACGCCCTGGCCAGGTGTGACTTGCTCTTGTCACGAGTGAGGACGCCCGGGGTCAGAGAGGGAGCACGGTCAGGGCCCTTGCCTGGCGGCAGCGAGCGGAACACCACCTGGGCCCGTGTGCGAGGGTGCAGAAGCCGATGTGGGCAGGGGTTACGTCAATCGTCTGTGAGCATCCAGAGGCAGGGGCCCCGGGGAGGCGGGGAGGTCACAGCAGAGCTGGGCGGGGGCTCCGGGGCCCCTGGCCCTTGCCGTCCGTAACGGTGGGTCCCCCTCGGGTGCCCTGCGCCGTCTGCCGGGACCCATTTCTCCACCTGGCTGCTCGCACGCTCCTGGGCTCCCTGAAACTGTAAACTCCATTTTCCAGGCGTGCAGGACAGATCACACATGTACGTGTACACTTGTGCATGGATCATACATGTGTGACCGTACCTGTGTGTCTTACTGTGAGCCAGGCCTTGTTGCGGCTTCTATTTGTATGTTACGTGTGGATATGTCATGTCACATCATACATCGGATCACTTCATGCATCATGTATCACATCGTACCTGCGTTAGAGTGCTCCACGCCCAGGACCATGGGGTGTCTATGCAAATATATGTGTGTATGTATAACTGAATGTATACCTGTGTGTGTGTGTATTCGCACATATATACACGTTTGCAGAGAACGAGCAGAAAAGTATTAACTGGCTCGTGTGATTGGGGGGCCCGGCAAGTCCGAAATCTTTAGGGCGGCCAGCAGGTTGGAGGTCCGAGGAAGTGTTGATGTTGGCGTCAGCTGGGGTCTGCAGGCCGTCTGCGGGCGGAATCCACTCTAGTTCTGGCGGGGAGGTTGGCCGCTTTCTTATTGTTAAGACTTCAGCTGATTGGATGAGGCCCACCTATGGGGTAGAGAATCAGCTGCTTGCCTCAAAAGTCTACGAATTTGTGTTAATTTTATCTAAAAAATACTTTCACAGCAGTTCTCTGAGCACCATGGCCTCGCCAAGGTGACATCAAGTTAACCGCTGTAAAATTATATTCGAATGATGCTTTTTCTACCCTATGTTACACTTAACACTACATACGGAGTGTGTGTGTGTGTGTGTGTGTGTGTGTGTGTGTGTACACGTACTTGGACAGGCAGGAAGGCAGGTGGATTCGCGGGTTTTGTCTGTTTGCTCACTTGACCACGCACTGAGGCAGATGCTTTTACTGTCGGAAGAGGAGGCCGGCGCGTGGGGCGGCTGGGCAGCTGGCTGGGGATCTGAAGCCCTCTCGCCCCGCAGGGCCTGTACCTGGTCTACCACCCGGTGCGGCTGTCCACCCCCCACGCCGTGGGCGTCCTGCTGCTGGGGCTGCTGGGCTACTACATCTTCCGGATGGCCAACCACCAGAAGGACCTGTTCCGGCGCACGGACGGCCGCTGCTTGATCTGGGGCAGGAAGCCCAAGGTCATCGCGTGCTCCTACACGTCGGCCGACGGACAGAGGCACCACAGCAAACTCCTGGTGTCCGGCTTCTGGGGCGTGGCCCGCCACTTCAACTACACGGGCGACCTGATGGGCAGCCTGGCGTACTGCCTGGCCTGCGGCGGCGGCCACCTGCTGCCCTACTTCTACATCATCTACATGACCATTCTGCTGACACACCGCTGCCTCCGGGATGAACACCGCTGTGCCAGCAAGTACGGCAGCGACTGGGCACGCTACACGGCTGCTGTGCCTCACCGCCTGCTGCCCGGGGTCTTCTGAGGCCCCGTCCTGTGGGAGGAGCCCCGAGCCCGGCCTGTGGGGCTCCCCCGGGACCTTCCGTTTCCCCATCGGGAAGTACAGAGAGCCGGGCGCTCGGTGTGTCCCCCCCTTGTCCCGAGGAGAGCTCAGGGGCTTTGTGCCGCCTGCCTGCCACCAGCAGAAGCGACCAGCGTTCCCTGTGCAGTGTCTGCGTGGAGCCCGCGATGACCCCGTCTCCTGCGTGTTGTCGGCCTGAGCTGCTGCGCTGCCCAGATACGCTGGCGTCTGACGCCGCACGGACGTCTTCGGCTCCCTCCCGCTCCATCTCTCTAAATCGAGCGGAAGTGGATACAGGCGGCGCTTCAGTTACCAGCTTCCTGCCTTTGGGCTCCAGACGCACTTTCCCGCGCCCGCTCTGCCACCGTGAGCTGGACCCTGGACACATCTCTCCTTGGCCGTGTGCCCGGTGGTAAATTTGAGGGGCGCTGCACCAAGAAGGGGGCTTCTCTTTCTGGGCTCGGTGATTCCACTTCATTTCCTTGTCGCCCATGGCTGCAGGGGTGCAGAGGGGGGCCAAGGTGCTCGTCCAGAGCGTGCCGAGGTCATGGCCCCGGCTGTGGCCCCAGCGGCCGACCCTCTGAGCATCCGGCCACCAGGCTCGGCATGCCAGCCCTTCCAGGGCGCCTCCTGCGTGCCTGGTGTCCGCACACATTGGCTCAGACCCAGGAAACCTGTGTATCATCCCGAGGGCCTCCTCCAGCAAGATCCGAATCCCAGCCTTGAGGAGGAGATGTCTTTCAGGTGAATTTTTTTACCTTGGGTACTTGCCCTTAACCCGAGGATTTTCTTGAGAGCTCTCTTTAAACATTACTGCCTTAGTTGACTTGGTAATTACATTAAAGTTGCTCTGTTCTAACTTCTGCATGGTTTCTGTCTCCCGCTTAGGCCCGATGGGACGCGAGGGCTTCGCTTCCGTATGTAGGAGGGGCGCGGAGCTGCTTGGGCCCTGCCTCAGAGCCGTGGGCACTCACGGTGGGCATTCAGGGGACCAGTGCCAGCCTCGCCCCACTGTCCGCCCTCTGCTGGGGCTCCCGTGCTGGGGGCGGGGGTCCGTTCCATCCGCCAAAGGAAGAAACCCCAGCCTGGCTGCCCACCCACACTGCCCACGCACAGAGATACCCAGAAGCAGGCGCCAGGCTTGGCTTCTGCCCGGAGAATCCAGACAGGAGGGAGGTGTGGGCACGGAGGGCGCTGCCTCCCCTGCTTCCATTAGGAACAGGCCGAGCAGGCTGCCCCCCCCCCCGTACCCCAAAGCGGGGAGAGCTCGGGCCCCACCCAGACCGGCTCAGAGGGTGTGCTTCCATGTTGCTGCTCACCACCCCCCACCCCTGCTGCCTGTTCATTCAAGCCCGTGGGCTGCAGAGGGAGGGGGCGGGGGCCCAGGACCCTGTGTTTGTCACAAGCCACACGTGTGGCTTGTATCCGGGCCAGCCTGCAGAACCAGTGTCCCGTTGGCCTGAGTAGAGTGGACCCCTCCTCTTCCTCTCACACATGGAGTGGTTTCATTTCAGAGAGGCCAGAGCGTGCTGGCTGTGAGCTCTGAGCCTGATTCCTGTGTCAAGCAGCTGTGTGACCTAGATCAGGGGACTAACCCTCTCTGTGCCTTGACTTCTCCATTTGAAAAGTCGGCAGTTACCTTCCTGCCTTGCTTTGAGAGGGCTCTGAGGCTGAGTTTGTAGAGGAGTCTGGGTTCAAGACTTGTTGGTGGGCGGGGCTGCCCCCTCCTCCCGGGGCTGGAGTGGCTTTGGAGGGGTGCGGCCGGCTCTGGCCGGGCAGCAGTTGCTGTGGGGGGACACCAGTCTCTACCAAGCCTGCCCACCAGTTAAGATGTGCGGGAGCCACTCTGGAGGGGTGCCTGCTAGAGTGATCGGGTTGGAGGGACAGGTCTGCAGGGGAGGGGGGCAGAGTGAGCGGCGCTAGCCAGACAGATGGAGAGTGGCGGGATCGGCGCCCTCCAGCGCCAGGCCAGTGGTGCTGAAAGAAGACTAGGATGGAGAAAGTTCTGCAGATCCCGTCCGACCAGAACGTGTCCTAAAATTGGTCAATAAATGTCCTTCGTGAATGACTCAGGCGCTTTTCAGGCCCCGCCTCTGTGCTGGGTCTTGGACTGAGCGACGTAGCACGCTGGCTTCCGTTTCTGCAGCCCCCCCAGCTCTCCCAGAGTTAAGTCCTGCTGATTTTCAAAGCCAGGCATTATGGGGGCTCGCCTTTCCAGTGCAGATCCCCGGAGGGGGACCGGAGCGGGGCTTGAAGCCTCGGCTCCTCAGGAAGGACCTGGAAGTGGAGATATCCACTCTCCCCACCTGCAGCCGGGTCCCGGCCCTGGGGATTTCGTTCCCAACCAGCCTGCGGCTCTGCCCCACTGCCCTTCCTGATGTGGCTTGTTCTGTACATGTTTAGCTGCGGCTGAGCTGTTCTGCAAGGAGAGAATTGCTCTACGGGCAGCTGCAGTCTTGGCGTGGCCGTGGCCGTGGGGCGGGGGCGGGGCAGGGAGCTCAGAGTCTTCCTCCTCCACCACCTTCCCGTTCAGTGTGGAAATTACAAACATAAGCATGATTATAATAAAGTTTTCCATGAGGTGCATGCAGGAAAGATGTGTATGCACCCACCTGCGAAGACTCCTGAGAGCTGCGTGGTGGGCGGCGGGTCGATTTAATCATGTTTTCCTGTGTTTTTATTAAATGTTATTTTTCGGTAACTCCTTGGTAGGGTTGCATTGCAGATTAGGAATGCTGCCTGTGACCAGGGCAGATCTGAGCTATTTGTTTATAGAGAGTAGAGCTTCTGTCCTGAGCAGGCCGGAGAGAAGAGGGGATTCCGGGAGGGGAGGCGGTGTGGTCAGCCCTGGACACGTGCTGCCAGCAGCCGTCGGGGGCTGGGCTTCAGTGGTGCCGTGCCTGGGGACAGAGCCACTCCGGGAGGGACAGAGGCCCAGGCGTGGGCTCATCTGGTTCTCGCACCTCCCTTTCCTGTCTGCAGGAGGGGCTCTGTTGAAAGTGGGTGTTTTTCACTGTTTGGGTCAGGAGAGGAGAAGAAAAGTCAGGCCACGGCGCAGTCAGAGTCTCAGGAGATTGAGCAGAACACTCCATGCAAAATTAAGATGTGAGTCCACTCTGCGCATTTCTTTCCCAGGGAAGGGCAGAGTGCTCTTACCCCCACAGAACCACCCTGCCCCTTGTCAAACGCCGATCTTCTAGTCTACGAGGGAGTGTCTGCAAAGCAGGCCCTGGGTGTTGCTTGGGAAGACCCAGCGACTGGGGGACCGCGTGCGATGGGTGTGGCTTCCAGAAACGTGGTGTCCGCCCTTTGCTAGTCCCCAGTGACCCGGAGAGAGCCCTGCACACATCAGACAGCTACCATCACCTCAGAATGGGGGTGGGGTGGGCGGTTTGCAGAGGGTCATCAGCACGATCACCTGCCACAGGGATCCTTCAGAGGGCTGTTGGTGACGGGCAGGTAGCCGGGTAACCTCACCTGTCTCCAGGCTTTAAATACCTCCCGAGCGCTGGGACCTCCAAAGGTCCCTGTCCGGTGTGTCTCTGGCCTGAGCCCTGTCCACAGGCCCAGATCCACCCCCCGCACCTCACTTGGGCGTCTGACACGTCAGCAGCAGCGCCTGATGCTCCCCCAGGGCCTGCCCTCGGGCGGTGGCAGCTCTGCCCTTGTACTTCACTGGGGCCCGTCCCTGACACCCTTCTCTCTCCCACATCCGGTCGGAGGCCCGTCCTACAGGCCGCACCCAGGGGCTGACCACCTCCCACCCCCCACCCCCCCCACGGGACCCCAGCCCTGGCCTCCGCCCTCCCTCCGCTAAGTGTTGCCATGGCAACCCCAGGGCTGGCCTGCCTGCCTCTTGCCACCTGGTCCTGTTAGAACACGAGTCAGATCACGTCGCCGCCACGCAGAATAAAAGCCAAGGTCGTCTGAAGGGCCTGCATGGACTCAGTAATGTCCCCCAGGGCCCCCAGCGTGCTGCGACTTACAGACCTGTCCCTGGGCCGTTCCTCCGCCTGGAGCCCCCTCCCCAGACACCCGTATGGCCCCAGCAAGGGCCTTCGAGACTTCCCTGAGTGTTCCCTTCGCAGCGAGGCCTTCCTGACATGCTCATCCGGGGCTCCCTGCCTTATTTTTCTTCATGGAGCTTACACTCCAGGCACAGAAAGAATATCAATCACCGACTTACCTTGTCTGCCCCCCCCCCCCCCCCCCGCCCGGAGCACAAGCACGGCGAGGGTGAACCTCTGATTACCTTGTGCCTATTTCACAAGTCAGGGAGGCAGGGCTGGGGCTGCCCATCTGCGAGCAGCTGGACACATGCGGGCCCGTGGGGAGGAGACACCGGCCAAAGTGGGGACCCGGCTGGCGGCAGAGTTCCCCGACGAGGTAGGACCAGGTCCTGCCCTGACCGAGCGCCCAAAGGCCCAGAGGGCTGATTGCACAGTGAGGAGAAGCACTGGAAACACTAAGACAGAAATCAAGGGGAAAGATCTCCATGATAGTGTTTGGGAAAGAGGCTCCGGGGGCGGTCAGCTGGACCCGGGGGGAGGGGAGGGGAGGCAGTGCCGCAGCCACCCCAGCCCCTCCTACAGGCAGGACCCGTGGGGGCGCCCTGCTTGTTTTCTGCATTGCACTTTTCTTCCGTTATTAATTTTTAATATAGGCACGATGCCCGGCGATTGTACTCGGGCAGGTACCCCAGAGAAATGACTCGAAGAAGTCAGACGTAACTCAGAAGTCTTTCCACAGGCAATAGTCAAACTGGCTGGCGCATCCCCGCTGCAGCGCTGTGGCCCGAGTGTCTGTGCGACCCCCTCTCCTCCCCCGCCCCGGCCAAGTCCATATGATGAAATCCAACCCTCAGTGGGATGGTATTTAGAAATGGGGCCTTTGGGAGTTAATTGGGGTCAGATGACGTCGAGGAGGTAGGCCCCGTGACGGGATTAGTGTCCCTATAGGAAGAGGGAGAGACGCAGGGTCTGTGTTTGCTGTGTGAGGACCAGTGAACAGGCTCCGGGGTCAGCCAGTGCCCTCACCTTGGACTTGAGCCTTCAGGGCAGCAAGGATAAGGGTGTTCCCTCAGCCCTCAGCCTGCGGGCTGAACTCACCGGACGTGTGGACTACAGCTCAGCAATGACGAGGAGTGACGGTCGATCCACACAACTTGGAGGGACCCCTAGAGAGTTCCAGAGGGAGGAGACAGATCCCAGACTTGCGGGCAGTGTGGCTCCATCCCCGTAAAATTCTTGTCGTCACAGAATGAGGGAACAGTAGTGCCCGTTCTGGGATCGGGAGTCGGGGGTGGGGTGGGCTGGTTCTGAAGGGCGGCAGGGGGGATGGCTGTGACGGAATGTTCCGTAACTCCACTGCGGGGGGAGACCCACGAGCCCTCGCCGTGACACAATGCACGGAGCTACACACCGGCATGCGCACACACACACACACGCACACGCACACCACGAGGAGTCTGGGCAGGACTGGCGCGCTGTGTCCGTGTCACCATCCTGGCAGTTCCCAAGGCGTCACCGTGGGGAAGAGCCACTGGAGAAAGGCCGGGAGGGGGGTGAGCAGGGCACCCCTGCGCAGACGGACAGAAGGACGGCCGGAAGCCCGCGCACGGATGGCGAGCCGCACTCACTGCTCCCTGGCCGTGCCCCCCTCCAGGTGACTAAGTCCTCACCCCCCAGGAGGGCGGCCTGAGGCTGGCTGTTCCTGCCCCTCCCTTGGGGGGAACCCAGCTCTGACGCCTGAGTCGTTTTCTCCAGGCCCCGCGCAGGTGAGAGCGCGCCTGGGCGCCCTGCCCCGGCTTCAGAACCCTTGAGCGTAACCGCCGAGCTGTGCATTCTCTCTGCTCTCAGGCGCTCGTGCACAGCCTTTCATCCCCTTTTACACACGGGTTCTGTTTCCGAGCCCTCGGCGCCCGGAGCCGCAGCCTGCAGGGAAACGGTGAAGGGAGCGGGTGGTGGGAGCCGGCATCCAAGTGGCCCATCCGGGGTGTTCTGTGGACGTGCGGCGGGACCCTCGACACGCAGAAGCAAGGCCAATAGGCTGACTGCCCACTGTGGCCCCTGAGGCCGCCTGCCGACTGCCAGAAGCAGCGTCACCGAGCCCCGAAGTAAGCACGGACTCCAGAAAGCAGCCACCTGTTTGTTCAGCCCCACCCGCCAGGACGGGCTGTGCGCCTGCCCCACGCTGGCCGTGCCCGCTCCCCTCCACACCGGGCAGGCGCCGTCCTTCCCAGCAAGGTGACCGCAGAGGTGCCCTGCAGCTCTTCCGTCCTGGCCTCGCCCCGGCCAGGACGCCAGGCCCTCTGCCGGCAAGATGCTTCCCCTGCCCCGAGGCCGAGCGCAGCTCTGTCCGGCAGTCGCGGGCTCTCTGCTCAGCTCCCAAGGTCCTCCATCCTCCACGGAGGCCCCTGCAGGCCAGGCTGGGGGCTGGGGTCCCCGGGACAGCCCCTCAGAGCCCCCAAGCTCCACAGCAACCAGGAGGGAACCCAGGAAAAGGACAGTGAACCTGACCACTGACCGTGGCCTGCGGGGCCAGCCCTGCATTACAGCACAGAGCCATTGCCATTGTGCTGCGTCAGGACAGCCCGGCTGCCGGGGGATGTCCCCCACACGGGCGGCCTTGGCCAAGGAGGCAGGCAGGTTTGTTTGTACCTTCCCGGAGCGGTGCTTGTGTGTTTGGAAATGGGTGTGCGGGAGGCTGTGGCCGGCGGAACCCCAGCTCTCGGAGGACCTGGTGTGGCTGCCTCGGCAGGTGGCTTCACGCTGCGTTTCGTGTCAGCCACTCTGCTTCCACCGAGATGCCTTCACCCCTGCAAGGTCTGCCAGACTCTTCTTTGCTTTTAAACAGGAAGAGACAATGTCACTGAGTGCAACCAGCGATCGCTAAGTAAACACGAGGCCCCTCGGGACTCGGGCCCACAGACGCCACGTCTCTTCCCAGGGAGCACACAGGTGAGAAGGAAGAAGCTTCTACCCACGCTGTGTGCGCGTGGGGCGTTTTGCTTCTCCCATTTATGAATTAACGGGTTCGTGTTTTCTCTGGATGCTTCGTTTCGCCTTCTTCTTCCGGCTTTTAAAAAAGGCCTCTTGCTGGGTGGGGTGGAACCAAATTGCTTCTGCAGCCGCGTGCAATTCTAAAGTCATCTGGGATTGGAAATTTCTGTGGGTGTTTTTCTGAATTTGAAAGTATCGGGAGTCTTTTCGGGCTGGAAATACTGCCTTGCACGTAGTAACTCTGCAACGACTTTTGGAGTATGTGGGCTGATGGGCAGTGAAAGCCACACAGAAAGCTCCTTTTAAAAAATTTTTTTAATTTGAGATAGAGTGAGAGAGAAAGAGTGTGAGCAGAGGAGGGGTATAGAGGGAGAGAGGGAGAGACTCCTAAGCGGGCTTCACGCCTCAGTGCGGAGCCTCACGCGGGGCTCAACTCCATGACCCTGGGATCGTGACCTGAGCCACAGTCAGGGGTGGGCGTCCCACGAGCCGTGCCCCCCAGGTGACCCGGGACAGCCTCTTCCAGGCAGCAGTGGCCTGTTGTCAGAGGCGTCTGTCAAGCCGCTCATCCAGGAGGAGAAGTTTTCTGTAAACGCGGGTGGAAACCACGCTTCGTGAGTCACAGGGTCCCTGTCGACCACTCACCTCTGCCGTTGCAGTGGGAGAGTAGCCACAGATACATAACCAACAGGCACAGCTGTGTCCTAGTAAAACTTTATTCGCTGAAACAAACCGTGGGCCAGATTTGGCCCGTGGGCCGCATGCCACGGACTCATCGCTTCAACGGGACGCGCAGGCCACGCCGGTGCTCCTTGGGGATCACAACTGGGTATTTCAGTTTAGGTCAAATGTCCTTCACACTGTGCCTAAAACCTATCTTGAGAAATGTCATTGCCGCGTGTTGTATTAGGGGCTAAATTGAAAGGCTTGAAAATACCAACTTTGCTCAGAAGGAATAGCACGTGACACCGTTACCTTTCTGGTTCTTGGATTTGGGACCCAGAGACGTGAGAGCCGTGAATGGTCACCAGGCGATGCCCAGGGCGCACATGGAAATATGTCTGGCCCCAGCCTGCACACCTCATGAAGCAGCTTGGCACGAGGAGACGAAGGGTGAAGTCTCGAGGTCTCAAAGGTGGACCCCATCCCAGGGTGTGCTGTGCGCACACCGGGCTGCAGGACCTGAGATCCTGAGCCGAAGAGACTGAGCCTGAAGCCTTCTCCTGACACCATGTTCCTTGGACGTTTGCGGTGCTGACATGCAGCAGTCACCAAATAAACGCTTTGTTTTATTTTATTAACAATTTTTTAAGGTTTATTATTGGGGGGAGGGTCAGAGAGAGAGGGAGACACAGAATCTGAAGCAGCTCCAGGCTCCGAGCTGTCAGTACAGAGCCCGACACAGGGCTCGAACCCACGAACCGAGAGATCATGACCTGAGCCGAAGTCGGACGCTCAACCAATTGAACCACCCAGGCGCCCCCTAACCGCTCCGTTTTAAATGGCACTGCGGTGTCCTCATTTCTAGACCAAGAAGCATGAGGTCCTAGGGAAGCAGGCTGGTGACCCGTCAGGCCACATTGTTTAAATAACTGCCCAACGTCTGTTGGGGTGGGTGAGTGCGGGGGGGCACGTGCACCCTGCACACCTCACGACGTCCTCCCCAGGAAGGGACACCCGCCTCCTCACGGGACAGCTTGGCAGTCACCTGCGACTCTTCAAACCCACCCCCGGGCTCAAATCAACGTGTGTCCATACAGAGGAACACGGAACAGCACGCAGCGTGGAACACGGACCACGGGTGCGCGTGTCACCGCAGGGAATGACCAAAGCCTGAGCCACAGAAGAACGTCCAGGTGATCGTGCCTCACGTAGAAGTCAGAGGCAGGCGAGACCACACAGGGCCTTCTCTGGGGACCAGTCCGGGTGTGGAAGGGGGTTGTTAACACACTTCAGGGCGTCGGTCGCCCCCGGGAGCAGGTGCGCCAAGTCTGGGTGGCGCCCGCTGCCCCACACTGGCCAGCGGGTCACTGGTTACTCACTAAAACAGGTGGTCGTCTCTGAAATGTCTGCAAACCTTACATAAGAGGCGGCGTGGACCCGGGCGACCTCTATTCCTGACCTTGGGGTGGGCAGTGTGGTTTTCTGTAGGGGGTAAGCCTCACCTCGCGTGGGAGCCAGGTTCGTGGTTCGGATGGGACACATGACATCTGACAGCCGTGATGATCCAGACGCGGGGGCGGCGGGCGGGGGTGCTGTCTGGGAACAGAGTGGCGTCAAGCAGAAGACCCCGGGGGTCCTTGATCGGGCGCTATGGCCACACACACGGGCTGGCTCAGAGGCTCCAGGCCCCGGTGAGGCGGGAACCCCGCTCGCTTCCCCACACCGGCTGGTGACTGTACCTGTCGGCCCCCTAACCTCGGGCCCCGAGCCCCCGCTTCAGCTCTGCCCCCAGTACGTGCACGGCGTCGGTACCCACTCACTGCCAGGACCCGCCTCGGTACCACCTGCACACGCTCGGCTTTCTCAGGACAGAGAGGGACCCACTGTCCGGCTTTGCCCAGGACCGAGGGGCCTTGGGGACATGCTTCTCTCAACCCAAACACGGGAGGATCGGGACAAACCACGACACGTTGGTCATTTCGTCCGGACCTGGTCCCTCAAGCAGGAGGGCCTGGTTTCGTTCTGATTTTGTGCCATATGAGAGCGCTGCAAACGTCTCGTGCGCCTTCCGTGAGCGCTCCGCTTATTCCGCAGGCGTCCAGGGAAGGTCCGACTCCATCCTCCACAGAATCTCCGTGACGCCTCTGTTCAGCCGGGGCTCCCCAGGGTCCGCAGGGGTTTGCCGGGGGACCCCGAGCTGGCCCCGCATCTTGCTGAGGGCAGATTAAGGCAGGGAAATAAGGCTGTAAGGCAATTGTTGCTTCCCAAGAGGCTGGGGGTGAGAATAAAAGAAAACGCTTTTTAAAAAAAGTTTATTTTTGAGAGGGAGGAGCAGCAGAGAGAGTGAGAGAGAGAGAGAGAGAGAGAGAATTCTAAGCAGGCTCTGCACTGTCAGCACTAAGCCCGACTTGGGGCTTGACCTCACAAACTGTCGAACCATGAGATTATGACCTGAGCTGATACCAAGGATCAGATGCTCAGCCTCTGAGCCACCCGGGCACCCCATAAAAGAAAAAGCTTTGAAAGCTGAGGAATCAATATTCACACCCGATTTCTGTAAGCAAAGATGGTTGTGCTTTGCTGTCTTATCTTGAAGCAGTGGGCATCAGAATCACCTGGAAAGCTCCTTAAAACAAGATCGCTGGGGGCACCTGGGTGGCTCAGTCGGTTGAGTGTCTGACTTTGGCTCAGGTCATGATCTCACGGTTCGTGGGTTCAAGCCCCACGTCGGGCTCTGTGCTGACAGCTCAGAGCCTGGAACCTGCTTCGGATTCTGTGTCTCCCTCTCTCTCTGACCCTCCCCTGCTTATGCTCTGTGTCTCTCTCTCTCCCAGAAATAAATAATACATTTAAAAATAAAAAGTTTTGAAAGCCCACTAGTTCTGGAAAGCTGCCCTCAGCACCCAGATGGTGGCTTACCCCCAGCAGGTGCTCTGGGTGGGTGGGTGGGGGGCCGCCTGCCCGGCCGGGGTGCAGAGCCTGAGGCCACCCCGACACAGCACCTGTCCGGCCGCCGAGCGCCTTGCAAACGGCCGAATAACATGTTGTGTCTCCTGCAGCCCATCCAGGCTGGGATGGACACACCCCTCGTGTGCGACTACGGCTCAGGCTTCAGCAAGGTGGGCTTTGCGGGCACGGAGGCCCCCCTGGGCGTGTTCCCCACCCTCCTCGGGAAACTTCGGCAAGACGTGAGTTACTCCGACCCTCCTGTGCCCAGCGCTGGTATGTGTGTGTGTGTGTGTGTGTGTGTGTGTGTGTGTGTGTGTGTGTGTGTGGTGGGGGGGCGCTGCGTTCAGCTCCTCCGGGCGTGTCCTTGGCACCGGGCGCGCCGCCAGATGCTGGCTCCTCTGGTGATTCTGTGTTTAAGCAATTCAGATTTTTGTGTCAAGATCTTAAGTCTAACTCGCTTTCCCGCAAACCCCGTGCAGACCAAACAAAAGTCACGTGCGGGCCCGACGCCCGCTGTTCCTCTGAAGCGTCCGGGGGCAGCGGACAGGACAGGCTTCGGCTCGGCCAGCCAGACCTGCGTGTCCTTTGCAAGGGGGTCGTTCCCCCCTCCGCCCCCGAGGTCGCTGCCACATCCCGGCTTCTCCTGTCACAGCAGCTGTGAGGCGCTCAGCTCACATAATGACTAACTCGCTCAGTTGACATGAGCCTGGCGGCCCTGCCAGGTGGGTGCCATGGGCCCCCCCCCCCCGGAGAGGAGCCGGCAGCCCTGAGCGGCAGCATGCCGGTATCCCGTGTGAGCAACCGTACAGGCAGGGTCCCCCCAGCCGCGTTCGGGTCCCCGGGGCCCAGTCGCCGCTCTCCTCCTTGGGAAGTCCGCCCATCCGTGGGAGGGGGCACCACGGTCACGCGGACAATCGCAAATGTCTAGGCTCCCAGGGCGATTATGCCTGGGCTCTGTGTCACTTGGGGCAAGTCAGTGGCACTGTTTATTTTTTTTATTTAAAAATTTTTTTTAATGTTTTATTTCTTTTTTTTAATGTTTTTTTTTTTAATTTCTCCTAATCTCCTATTTCTAGGAGAGAGAGAGAGAGAGAGACAGCGTGAGCAGGGGAGGGTCAGAGAGAGAGGGAGTCACAGACCGAAACAGGCTCCAGGCTCCGAGCTGGCTGTCAGCACAGAGCCTGACGCGGGGCCTGAACCCACGAACCGTGAGATCATGACCTGAGCCAAAGTCGGACGCTTAACCGACTGAGCCACCCAGGTGCTCCCTTTTTAAAAAATTTTTAAAGGTTTTATTTATTTCTGAGAAGCAGCACTGTTTCCAAGCATGAGTTTTGAGACTGACCTCACCTGACCTGCGGCGGCAAAAAGTGAGAGTCCCTGCCCTTCTCTACATGGGTAACAGCAGGCGCCTGACCCCTCGCTGGCTGACCGGCCTGTTTCCTCGCGATTGCAGAGCTCCGGGGTGAAGAGTGGGGGCTGTGGGGTCCGGAGGCCCACACCCCACACCGGCCCTGCCCCGGCACCGGCGCGCCTGGGGGCAAGTTGCCTTTAGGGCTCAGAATCCCCGTGCATGGAGCGGGGTTGACTGACACACACGTGCCACATCCGGGCGAAGCTTCACGTACGCCTGGCACGGAGTCTGGGCCCTGGAAGTGCGTAACAACGATGGACACGGCGCTCAGGGTGGTGGCCGTGATGAGTGTGAGTGCCCTGCCTCGGACGGCCGTGACCAGTGACCACGGACCTATTCTGTCCCAGCTCTGGAGGCCAGAGGACCTAATTCACGTGTGAGCAGGGCCTGGCTCCCGCCAGCGGCGCCAGGGGACCGCTCCTCCAGCTGCTGGGGCCCCGGGCACCCCGGGCTCGTGGCCACGCCCCTCCGGCCTCTGCTCCCTTCTCTGCGTCACATCTCCACTTCTGGCTCTTACAGGGACCCCTGTCACTGGATTTAGCCCCCCCCCCAATAATCCAGGATGATCTCACTTCAATATCCTTACCTTAATCACATCTGCAAAGACCTTGTTTCCAAATACATAGACTCCTGAGCTTGGACGTGGACACGTCTTTTGGGGGCCACCCTTCAACCCACCTCAGCTGGGTTCTGCCTATTGTCCGTGGGCCCCGATGTCCTCCCGCTGTGTGTCTCTCGGACGGGGACGCCCGGATCAACAGATCACCATGGAGGCAGATTGGGAGGTAGAAGGAGGGGGTAGGCCTTCCCTCCTGTTTTTCTTCTCTGTTCCCAAGTGCCTGTGCGCCCCGGCTCCCCCCCCACTGTCCGTCCATGCTCCCCACCCCCCAACACCATCCATCCACGCTACCCCCATCCGTCCACACTCCCCCCCAACCCCGACGCTGCACCATCCGTCCATGCAGCTCCCCGCCTGCCAGCCGCCCTGGGGCTGTACCTCTGGGCTCCCTCCGTGCTCCCTACTGGCTCTTTCAAACTCCCAACATTGTGTGACCGGTGCCCGGATCCAGCCCTTTGAGAATCTGTTTTGAAATCCGTGGCAGGGCGCCTCTTTGCCCCAACAAGTACCGTAATTTGTCCTGCCCCGTGAAAGCCACATCCCACATCCCGCAGCCCCGGGGGAGGGAAGACCCCTGTGGGCCGTACGGCGGGGGGCATGGCAGGAAGCAGGATTGTATATAAAATAGGATATAAAAAGTCACAGCGAGAAAGACCAAGTGCCTCACCGAAATAGAAACGAGTGGCCACGTGGCCACGGTGAATTAGTGGATTACCCACAGTAAACCGTGTATGTGAACCGTGGGCCGCCGGCCTCGCAGCCTTCGGCCCCGGCCCCCTCCCCCCCCGGGCAGCAGGAGGGACGCTCTCCTGCCTCAGAGCACTCGGCACCTGGCATGATGCTCTGCGCGGACTCACGCTTCACTCCAGAGACGAGACGAGCACCCCGGCCCCTCGGTGCACTCGGGTCTGGGGGAGCCGGCCGTGAGGGCCCTGGTGGGAGGCCCCGCGCCCTCAGAGCGGCGCACAGCCCAGCGTCACCGGAGCAGCCGCTCAGAGCCCAGCCCTGTCCTGCTCGGCATTTAAAAATATATTTTTTTAATGTTTTATTTATTTCTGGGAGAGAGACACACACAGCGTGTGAGCAGGGGAGGGACAGGGAGAGAGGGAGACACAGAATCCAAAGCAGCTCCAGGCTCCAAGCTGTCAGCACAGAGCCTGACGCGGGGCTCGAACCCACAAACTGTGAGATCATGACCTGAGCCGAAGTCGGACACTTAACCGATTGAGCCCCCAGGCGCCCCATCGGCTCAGCATTTAAACAGCAGCTTCAGACCAGGTGGCGCTGCACCCCCACCCCCGGCAGGCACCCCTCGCCCCCCACCCTCCACGTGGGGATTTGGCCAAGCCCGAAACTTCAGAGGCAGGGCGGCATTGACTGTCCTTCACACCAGCGCGTCAGCTCCGTGCTAAAGCGACGTCCCATCGACAGGCTCCGTGACGTGCTCCCCGACGGCACCGCAGCGAGGAAGGCGGCTTGGAGGATGTTCCATCCACCGGAGAGGAGATGGGGCTCAGAGACGGCGAGCGGCTTGCCTGGGGTCTCATGCGTTCTCCCCAGATTCTGCCTAAAAGACAGATTCTTAAGACGGAACAGCGCTGTGCCCATCAGCTGGGTAGCCTCAGGAATGAGCCTCTCCCTGAAGTCCACCGCACCCCTGCACCGCGGCACCACTGCAGAATGACGCCTAGGGCACACTTCCTGTAGACTGCTCTTCACCCACAGCTGAGAGCTGCAGGGCCACCCACCAGACCCATTTCAGGAAACACGGGACTCCCTCCATGGACGACTGGCCCGGAGCCCCCCAGGGGCCCTGCTGATGGCACGGCGTTCTAGGCACCCGTGCACCCCCTGGCCAGTGCCCAGGCTCGGACAACAGCAATGCCTCCCCACCCAGCTCGGTCAGATGCCCTCCAGAAACCCTCAGCCCTTTCGTGGTGTGTTGGCGTCTGCTCGTGGTAGACACGGGCCAGCTGTCCAATCCCTTCTGAAGGACGGAAGAAGGGGTGACCGCGCCGTGGAAGCAGTTAGGTCTCGTCTCCTCAAGGAATGACAAGTTCAATTAACCTGCAGACCCCGCCCCCCAGCAGTTTTGCAGGGTGGATGCCGCGGTCGGTGCCCCTACCCGTCCCCCCACGGAGAGCACACCCGTCCGCCTGTGTCTTTCAGAATCTGCTGGCGGGCGTGGAGAAGGAAGACTGCTTCCTCGGGGACGAGGCTCAGCAAAAGCGAGGGGAGCTTAGCCTGCAATATCCCGTCTCCCGGGCGGCCATCACGAGCTGGGACAACATGGAGAAGGTAGGCGGCAGCCTCTGCTGAGCCGCGGCCTGTCCACGGGGCCCTACCGATGTCCGGGGGCGGGGGGGGGGCGTCCTGGCATCTGGGGCTCTCTGGGCCTCTCTTGGCTCTCGATCCCTGTTGACGCTACATCACGCTACTAACCACATGGGTCGTGGGGTCGGAGGCCTGACCCTGGATCTTGTCTCCACGACTTATTGTCTTGGTCATTTTGGACAAGTAACCAGCCTTCCTGGCCCTCCGTTTCCTCATCTGTAAGAAAGGGGTGTAATTTTAGGCTCTGTCAGGGCCTCCATAGATGGCTGAAGTTTGCACACTGCCGAGGGAGATCTATTAATTATCTACACTGCATGACAAATCACCCCAAAGCTTAGAAGCTTAAAACACCGGTGGCTGCGTACTTCCTCTCAGTTTTTTTGGGTCAAGAATTTGGGAGTGGCTCAGCTGGGTGGTTCTGGCTTGGGGTCTCTCATGGGGCAGCAATCAGGAGTCAGCTGGGGGTGCGTCATCTGAAGGCTCGACCGGGGCTGGAGCAGACATTTCCAACATGGCGCTCCATGGGGCTGGCAAGGTGGTCCTTCTTGGGGACTTTCTGCAGGGGCGCTCTAGAGCCCTCACAGCATGGCGGCTTCCATCAAGCCAACCTGGAGGGAACAATCAAGGTGGCCGCTGTGAAGGCTGCCGTGGCTTTACGATGTAGCCTTACGAGCCACACGCCTTCCCTGTGGCTGTGTTCTGTGGGTCACACGAGTCGGTCCAGGTTCAGTGTGGGAAAGGTCTGCACAGGGTGTGGCTGTCAGGAGGTGTGCGCTCTTGGGGTCGTCCTGAAGGGGGTGCAGGAGCCTCACTCACAGACGCTTCCTGTCTACACAGCTGAAGTGTTGGCTCTGGTTCTGGCTGTAGCCCTCTGTCAGTGTGTCATAGGGAATACAGAAACTGAGCAGCGTAGACGGGTCTTTGGAGTGTGCAGCCCACTAGACCCTGGGACCCGGGCTAACCGGGCTGTGGCCTCCACCCACCCCTCCCCTCCCCTCTCTGGTGTGGGCTCAGCTGACTACTGGTGTGTGGTCCCAGCCCTTGGTTCAATTCTTGTCCAAATACCAGGATCGTTGCAACGATCCTCCCCCATGGTGCCCTTCCTCCTACCTTGCCACCCTCTCCCAGTTCACCCTCACAGTAGCTGCGTGGCTGTTGTACATCTGATCATGCCACTTCCCTGCTCCAGTCAGCCAACCGTGAGCCCACCCACCTGGCTTTTGCTGTTTCGTGGGCGCCATGTTGCTTTGTGTTTCCAGGGCCCCCTTTCCTGAGGCCCTTCCTCCACTGAACTTCCCCTCACTTCTGTTTTCAGTTCTCCACGGAGCGTCTTCCCCAGAGGCAGGCAGGGGCTTTATGCATTGCTTGCTGAGCACCTACGGTGCACCAAGCACTTGGCTAGGTGCTGGGGCCTGAGTTGTATCCTCCAATTTCCTATGTTGGAGTCCTGACCCCAAGCACCTCAGAACATGACTGTATCTGGAGATGGGGTCTTTAAAGAGGTGACGAAGGGGCACCTGGGGGCTCAGTCGGTGAAGCGTCTGACTTAGGCTCAGGTCATGAACTTGCAGTTCCTGAGTTCAAGCCCTACATTGGGCTCTGTGCTGACAGCTCAGAGCCTGGAGCCTGCATGAGATTCTGTGTCTCCCTCTCTCTCTCTGTCCCTCCTATCCCCCCTCAAAAATAAATCAACATTAAAAAAATTTTTTAAAGAGGTGATCAAGGTAACATGGGGTCACTGGGGTGGGGTCCTGATCCCGTGTGCCCAGGGTCCTTGTAAGAGGAAGGGATCAGGACACAGACACGCACGGAGGGACGGCCCCGTGAGGACACAGGAGAGGACGGCCGTCCACACGCAGGAGAGAGGCCTCGGGGGGCCCAGCCCTGCCCCCGCCCGGACCTCGGGCTCCGGCCCCCAGGACAGGGACTTTGTTCAAGTCACTTGGGCTGCGTCTCTGATACGGCGGCCGCAGGAAACCGCTAGGTTTTCTACAAACATCGTACCAGATCCTCCGTGATGTCCTCGTGACCCTCGACAAGGAAGGGAAGCTTTTCCATTTTACAGACGAGGAAACGGCACAGAGTCAGGTTCCTTGTCTGGGCCACGCCTGCTGCCACGCTGCTGCCCCCGCCGCGCCTCGGGGCCCCTGTCTGCTGCCCAGTCATACGAGGACTGTGCCCCGCACATCGCTGTCCGCTCCGCGTCCTGACTCGAGGCCCGGCGCACGCGGGGCTTGTGTCTTCTCTGCAGCCACTCTGTCCTTCCTGCTCTGAATCACATAAGCTACTACAGAAGCCACTTTGTGGTGTAGACAGGTTCCAGCCCACTTCTGGAAGATGGGCCATGGCTCCTGGGAGAGCATCACGGCACCTCCTGCTGTCTCCACAGATCTGGCACCACTCCTTCTACCAGGTGCTCCGTGTCGCCCCGGAGGAGCACCCTCTCATGATGACGGAGCCGCCTCTGACCACAGCGTCCAACAAAGAAAAGGTGTCGCAGGTAAGGGGCAGGGTGGTGGGCAAGTGGGTCGGGGGCGGGCCATGGGGAGGGCGGCTCTGGCCGCCTCTTGAGCCTTGGAGCTCGGGGACCCCTCAGGGCGTCGTCCCTTTGGTCAGCGAGATGAAGACACAGGAGGGACCTGTCCCCTTTGCCACTGGCGGCAGGCGTGGGGAGCTCACCGAGGGGCGCGGAGCGGGTGAGGGCCTCGTGCTCGGAGCCTGCAGCCGGCCTGTGGGCTGGGCAGTTACGGTCCGTGGCACAGATGAGGCAGTCAGCGTCTAGGAGTGGAAGCAGTTTGGCTGAGGCGCGGGTCAGCGGGCTGGGAGGCGGGCTGGGCCCTCGAGGCCTTGGCCCCGCGGGCTTGCTGTGTGGGGTGTCCTGCCCGGAGCGCCACCCGCTCTGAGAGCTCCCCGCCCCCGCCCCGCGCTGGCCGCCTGCAGGGAGGCGGTACGTGCGGATCGGATGGATCAGGTTGAACTGGGTCGAGCGGGTTCTCGGAGGCTGTGGAGGACAGGCCGGGGACAGAAGGAGAGCCCCCCCCCCCCACCCCGCAGGCTGCAGGGTCTTTTCAGGGCTGGTGAGTGAGGTCCAGGTGGGGAGGGGCCGCTGGCCTCAGGATTCCGGGTACGCCAGGAGGCTTTGCCTAATGAGGACGTTGAGGAGCTAATTAAGGAAACAGCGAGGTGCCGCCACCTGGCCCAGAGCCCCTAGAGCCCCGTGGTGTCCCCTGCGGTGGGCGGTGACCCACAGGGCAGGCGGCGGCCTGCAGCACCATCTGCCCGCGGAGGAGCCCTGTGCCGTGGCCCAGAGTCAGCACCGTCAACCACGGCACAGGCGGGAGCTGCTGCCTCATTTAAAACAAAGCCCGAGGGGGCCGACGACTCGTCCTCTGCACACGGACAGGAGACACAGAAGTGGGCCACAGCCGGGCTCCACGTGGACACGGGCGCAGAGCCCACGGCTTTGAAACAGCAGGTACCCAGGTTGAGAGCTGCGTGTGCGCATCAGAGCCCCGGTGAGCCGGAGAGAGAGGCGGCAAGCAGGACTGTCCCTCACCCGAGGGGAAGGTGCCACTCCCAGGCTGTGTTAGTGTTCGGCAGACAGACGGTGGGACACGTGCGTGCGCACACACGCGCACACACACACACGCACGCACACAGACGTGCGTGCACACACACACGTAGTATATAGAAAAAGATCTGTTTCGAGACACTGGTTCATGCGATTATGGAGACCGACGAATCCCAGAATTTGCAGCGTGAGCCAGTGGGCTGGAGCCTTGTGCTCTACTCAGATCTTCAACTGATTGGACGAGGCCCACCTACCTTGGGAAGGGAAATTGGTATTATTCAATCAAGCGATTTATGTTAATACATTAAAATATTAAAATGTTAATATTATCCAAAATCATCCTCATAGACACCCTCAGAATAATGACTGACCAAATGTCTGGGCTCCCCGTGGCCCAGTCACACTGACACATAACATTAACCCACAAAGCAGTGCGCCGGCCACACAGCCTGTCCCCGGTACTTCTCCACCTCTCTGGAGCCCACTGCCTGGCCTTCTGCCCTGGGTCTCTCTGAATCCACCCCCTAATTATAATGGGGTCCCAGCGGGAAACCAAAGGGACCCTCACGGGGGTCATTTTGGTGCGACTTTCCTGAAGGGCTGGCACACAAGGGAAGCGTACGATCTAGAACAGCGACATGAACTGGTGCGGAGCTCTGGGCTAGTCACGGAGAGCTCTTGCCCTTAAACCCAAAAAGCCCGGGTGGTTAGTGTGGGAGAGGGAGGGACGATGGGGAGGGAGCAGGGGGGAGAGCTGCACGCCACCCCCTCCCGCCTCCCCTGCAGGGTCTCCACGGGCAGAACCCAGGGGGTCGCCAGCAGAGAAGCCAGTGCGGGCAGCAGCCCAGCGCGTAGGGAAGCGCCAGCCTGGTCTCGAGACCCAGATTCTGGCCCCGGCTCTCCCAGCACACGTGACCTCAGGGGGTGACACGTGTCCTCACGGGGTCCTGATTTCCTTATTATTATTATTTTTTTTTAATGTATTTTTTTTTAATGGTTTACTTATTTCTGAGAGAGAGAGACAGCGTGAGCAGGGGAGGGTCAGAGAGAGAGGGAGTCACAGACTGAAACAGGCTCCAGGCTCTGAGCTGGCAGCCAGCACAGAGCCCGACGCGGGGCTCGAACCCACGAACCGCGAGATCATGACCTAAGCGAAAGTCGGACGCTTAACCGACTAAGCCACCCAGGCGCCCCGGTCCTGATTTCCTTATGAGAAGGATGGTAACGGTGTCACCCTGGGGGCGGGGGCATCGCGGAAACAAGATGCATCAGTGCCGGGAAGGGCATGGCACTGGGCTAGTGCCCGTTGAGCACTCAGTAAATGTTTCTTGTTGTCCCTGGGTCTCAGTATTCTCATCCGTAGAATGGGATCTTGATCGCAGGAGCCCTGAAGGCCCTTCCAAGCTCGGTGACCTCCCACCTCACCTTGGGCCTGGGGAGCTGAGGTTGGTCTTTTGTCTTAGTGTTTTTAGGGGGTGGGGTCTCTGGTTGGATCACGAAGCTTCTCTCCTACCTGGAGTCCACTTCCCCTGCCGGGACGCAGGCCCCGGGGCACCGGAGACTGGCACAGACTCGCTGCCGCCTGCCCTGCGTCCTTCGAGGTGGTGCCTTCCACGCGTCACATCGGGTGGTCCCCGCCCGGGGCTGTTGTGAATGAAGCTGGTGCGAAGAGGCGTGAGCCAGTCCTTGTGTGACTCGTGGTTTCCCCTCCCCCCCAGACGTGTGCTCAGTGACCCCCTTGGTGTGTAACTCGCTCACTGGAGGGCCCGGCTTTGCGTAACGTCTTCTCTCGAACGCCGTCTTTACTGGGTTTCACAGTGTTTGTCCAGAGGCAGCCGGGTCACTTCTCAAGCGGCCACACCCCAGCCCTTTCCCTTCTTGTCCCGTCCCCCCGCACACCTGCCCTACTTGCCCCCACAGCTGGCGACTGCCCCTCTGCCCAGGAGCCCGTGAGCCAGCCCTCGGGGATCCCTCCAGAGCCGGCTAAGCACCCCGTGGCCGTCTACAAGCTGCGCCCTGACAGCTCCAGCTGGCTGTCACCCCGTCCCCAGGCGCGGCCCCCTGCCGGGTTTGGAGCTGTGACAAAGTCTACCTTTCAATTGTCCAGGTGGCCCCATGTTGGTCCCACCATCAAAAGAACCTTTAAAGTTTTAAAAATATTTTATTATTTATTTTTGAGAGAGAGGTAGAATGTGAGCAGGGGAGGGGCAGAGAGAGAGGGAGACACAGAATCCGAAGCAGCTCCAGGCTCCGAGCTGTCAGCACAGAGCCCGACGCGGGGCTTGAACCCACAAACCGTGAGATCATGACCTGAGCCGAAGGTGGACCCTTAACCGACTGAGCCCCCAGGTGCCCCAAAGAACCTTTATATCAAAGCACCTGGGTGGCTCAGTCAGTTAAGTGACCTCTGGCCTGGCCGCCAGCGCTTGCCACTGCTTCTTCACAGATCCTGTTTGAGACCTTCAACGTGCCCGCCCTGTACGTAGCCAACCTGGGAGTCCTTTCTCTCTACGCCTCCGGCCAGACCTCCGGTGAGTGGCCCTCCTCCCAAGCCCCTGTGTCCCTCCTGGGCAAGCGGTTTGCTTCCACTCAGCCCGTGTCGTTCCTCAGCAGCTTTATGGAGGTGGAACTGGTGCACAGCAAAGTCAGTGTGTCTAAGTTGTGCACTGGGATAAGTTCTGACGTGTGGATACCCTTGTGCAGCCACTGGCTCGATCAAGATAACGAACGTACTTGTTACCCCTAAACCCGTCCCCTCCACCCCCACGCTGCCCCCTCCAGTCCGTCCTTAGATGAGATTGCATTTTCTAGAAATTTGTATAAACGTTGTTGGGTACAGGGGTGCCTGGGGGGCTCAGTTGGTTACATGTGTGACTTGTCTCAGGTCATGATCTCACAGTTTGTGGGTTCGAGCCCCGCGTCGGGCTCTGCTGACAGCTCGTGGCCTGGAGCCTGGTTCAGATTCTGTGTCTCCCTCTCTCTCTGTGCCTCCCCCGCTCATGCTCTGTCTCTCTCTCTCGAAAATAAACATTAAGAAAAAATTTTTAAATGTTAGTGGGTATGTACCCTTCTTTCAAAGGGTTTTCTCACTCAACATAATTGTTTGGGGATTCACAGAGTTAATTTCTTTTTCATGGCCAGAGTATTCCGTGTGTGAACGCACCACCCTTTGCTTATCTGTCTACCTCCCGATGGACACGTGGGTGGTTTCTGGCTGGGAACCATTATAAACAAAGCTGCTGTGAACATTTGCCCACAAGTCTTTGCGTGGACGTACGCTTTCACTCCGCTTGGGTAAAAACACCCGGAAGTGGAATGATTGGGTCAAATGGTAAATGTATTTTAACTTAAAAATAAAATCGCCAAACTAGCTGCCAGAGTGGATTCCGCCAGCCACGTGGACGTGAGCTTTTGTCACGGCAGCCCTTGCAGCAGGCGTGCGGTGGCTTCTCGTCATCCCGTTTGGTGTGTGTATCAATGTGCAATTGGCCCCACACTACTTGTTGAAAAGACACTGTGTTGGGGCGCCTGGGTGGCTCAGTTGGTTAAGCGCCTGAGTTCAGCTCAGGTCATGACCTCACGGTTCGTGGGTTTGAGCCCCGCGTCGGGCTCTGTGCTGACAGCTCAGAGCCTGGAGCTGCTTCGGATTCTGTGTCTCACTCTCTCTCTCTGTCCCGCTGATGCTTGTACTCTCTCTCTCAAAAATAGATACACATAAAAACATAAACGTGAAGACCTTGGCTGCCAGATCCACTGTGTGAGAAGAGCCCACCACCCAGAACCCTGGTCTGCTCTTAATGGCCCCACAAGTCAAAGCTTCGCACACAGGGAAGCCTGTGTCCCCGTAACCACACCACAGCTCCGGGCCTAGCACCGAGAGCTATGGTCCACCTTGCTAGCTGAAGAGTAAACCTCCTTCCCCGCACCCAGCCTCGTCTGACGATCGAGTTATACTCTGAGTATTTTAGGGAGAGAGCCACTAAAAGCAGAGTATGCTTTCTCTTTTACCCTTTGACGACTGTTGCTGTCTGTGTGGCTGGTGGAGGAAGAAGACTTGCAGGTGTTCTGTCCAAAACAGCTGGCCTTTGGTCTGAGCCAGCTCGACTTGATCCCAGCACGGCCCCCTGCAAAGGAAAGCTTGTTCCTCAGACCCTTTGCCTTACCTTATTGTTATCTTTTTATCTCTTACTACCTTATGATCTCTTCCCGGAGACTTGACAGCTGCGAAGGGACACCACAGAGCTGGTGGTGACACCAGCCTGTTCTCTTGTCCAGGAACAACCGTCGAATCTGGAGAAGGGATGACGTACGTTGTGCCCGTCATTGATGGCTGTCCTTTGCCTCAGTCAACTGTCCAGGTGGACTTGGCAGGCCAGGACCTAACCATGTTCCTCCTGCAGCTGCTGACCCGCAGTGGACACTCGTTGGTGACCACAGGTAGGAAAATGCCGCTCTTGTCTGGGTGAACCAGGCCCTGGGGTGTAGTGTCCTTCTCGGCTTGTTCAACCTGCAGCCCTCAACTTGTAAAGCTAAGGCTACTTGACCTTGACCCAAGTCTTAACAAATAACTTTATCTATGTCAGGGACATTTAGTGATGACAATGAGGATGAGGGTGATGATGGTGGTGGTCATGGTGATGAAGATGGTGGTGATGATGGTGGTGATGGTGATGATGGCGGTCATGATGGTGGTGATGGTGGTGATGGTGGTGGTGATGGTGATAAAGATGGTGATGATGATGGTGGTGATGGTGATGGTGGTGAAGGTGATGATGATGGTGGTGGTCACGATGGTGGTGATGGTGATGATCATGGTGGTGATGGTGATAAAGATGGTGGTGATGGTGATGATGATGATGGTGGTGATGGTGATAAAGATGGTGGTGATGTGGTCACGATGGTGGTGATGATGATGATGGTGATGGTGGTGATGATGGTGGTGATGGTGGTGGTGATGGTGATGAAGATGGTGATGATGATGGTGATGGTGGTGATGGTGATGAAGATGGTGGTGATGGTGGTGATGGTGGTGGTGATGGTGATAAAGATGGTGATGATGATGGTGGTGATGGTGATGGTGGTGAAGGTGATGATGATGATGGTGGTCACGATGGTGGTGATGGTGATGATGGTGGTGAGGATGATGGTGGTGATGATGATGGTGATGATGGTGGTGATGATGATGGTGGTCACAATGGTGGTGATGGTGATGATGATGGTGGTGATGGTGATAAAGATGGTGGTGATGGTGATGATGATGATGGTGGTGATGGTGATAAAGATGGTGGTGATGTGGTCATGATGGTGGTGATGGTGGTGGTGATGGTGGTGGTGATGGTGATGAAGATGGTGATGATGATGGTGATGGTGGTGATGGTGATGAAGATGGTGATGATGATGGTGATGATGATGATGATAGCGATGATGATGGTGATGGTGATGATGATGGTGATGACGGTGATGGCAATGGTGACATGATGACAATGACGATGGGCTAAGCTTTACAGAATGCTCACTCTGTGCACAACACTTAGCTGAGCGAACATTTCACATCCTTCGTGTCACTGCTTCATGCTACAACGCCATGAGCGGGAACAGCTCTCCCCATTGCAAGAGGAAGAGGCCCAGGAACAGCAGGGGCCTTGAACATCACATGACTAGCAGGTGCATCACGTGGGATGTGAACCCAAGGAGTCCGGATGAGGATGTGCCTGTCCCACTTTTCACGCACCTCCTGGACCGGGCTCCCAGCCTGCAGAACTCACATGGCACCCATTTCCAACGAGCTGACAGTCCTGCTTTGTACTTCTCGGTCTGCCCAGCCTAGAGGTCTGTGTCCACAGGCGTAATGCGTACTGAACCCTAGACAATATAGCAATTAGAAGAAAACCAGGGGCTGTGAGAAGGATCAGCCAGGACAAAGAGAAGCATTGCACTGACACCTCCCACGTAGCAAGGAGACCTACTGTGCGTGATCTCATCCCATCTGCACAATAATCCTGCCAGTGAGGTTTAATCTCGTGCTTGAAGATGAAGACAGGGAAGGTTTAAGAGAGAGTGAACTAGCCTAAAGCCAAGCATTTGGTAAATGGCAGAGGCGGGATTTGAACCTAGACCTGTCTCACCACAGCCCAAACTAGGTAAGGAAGGGGAAAATATCAGGAAAGTGCAATGTCTCAGAAGCCAAGGAGAGAGAAGGGAGGGGCTCACGACCTCAATTTCTGGAGGGCAAGCGCCCGCAGAAGAACTGAGGAGTGCGGCAGGGCTCTGGAACAAGGCAGGCGGAACAGGCACAGACAGAGCAGGTCAGGTGGCGTGGGTGAGGGCGGAAGTCAGCGGGCTGGAGAATCAGGGAGATTTCTAGGGGGGCAGGTGCTGGGAGCTCCAATCCAGATTCAAAAGCAATGGTAGACAACATATAAAACTGTAACACACCAGGGTCTGAAACCTGCTGTCGGCCACCAGAAGGTGGGAGGGATGCGACCTTCCGGATGTTTCCGGGTGAGGGGCGAGGGGGCCGGGTGGGCTGGGGCAGTTCTCAGCAGGAGGGGCACCTCTGAGCTGTTTGCAACCGACATTCACAGCAGGTGGGGATGGGGCACCAGCAGCAGCGCCAAGTTCAACAGATAGTAAGATCGGGTTTGATCTTCCAGCCCCTTAAAAACACAGCGTACACAGCGGGATATCAACGCGTAACACACAGGCGGTCTCCAAATGTTTGCCTCTTAGTTGAGGACATCTCGGCTCTACCTTTCGCTTCCACGAGCCCAGGCCCCCAGCATATGTCAGCCCTCGCAGGGCACTGGGGTCTGAGATGAAGACAAGAGCAGGCGTTACAGTCGTGCTGCCTCGCCCCCTCCACGAGGCGCTGCAGCTTCAGGAAGGTGCTCCCTGGGGACAGGGCGCCTCTGAGCACCATCTCAGGTCGCGTCCTTCTCTGCCTGGCCCTTCGCCTTTCCCCGTAGGTGAGCTGGAGTACATCCGGAGCATAAAAGAGCAATACTGCTACGTGGCCTTGGACTTTGACAGGGAAAAAATAAACACCGACTCGCCTTCCTACGCGCAGAAATGTCAGCTGCCCGATGGCCAGGAGGTCACGCTCGGGCAGGAGAAGTTCCTCTGCCCCGAAGTGCTTTTCCAGGCAGACCTCATAGGTGAGCGGCGGGAAGGGGCCGGGGGTGAGGCCAGGCGCGGCCAGTGGGGCCGCTGTGCGGGGGACGGAGCCCGGCAGCCACGAGGCGGCACTGTCTTCAGTAGGGAGTAGGAGCCTGTTTCTAATTTCTGCGGGAGCAACTATCACTTGCTGAGTGCCTACTGCATGCCCGTGACGTTGCCGACCACTGCACGCGGGCTGCGGGCTTCGTCCTGCCGCGTCCGACGTTGCTCGTGCCACAGGTGAGGAAACCCAGTGCAGAGCACTAAACACTTGTCAGGTGTGTGACTCCACTGCGCCCCGGCCCTGCCCTTCAGCTGCCTGTTACTCGTGCTACACCTGCTTGCAAAACAACTTGAATTATGCAAGTGGAGACAAAGCAGAACTAAAACTGTAGATTCTGGGGGAAATTTAAACATTTTGGCAGATGTAGAGATTTTAAAAACATTCTCGTATAGTTAACATACCGTGTGGCATTTGTTTCAGGGGTACAATTTGGTGATTCAACAGTTCTGCACCTCTCCCGGCGCTCATTGTGATAAGTGTGCCCTCGATCCCGTCACCTGTTCCCCGCCCCCACCCCTCCCTTCTGGAAACCATCAGTGTGTCTCTCTTTGTATTTCCCTTTGTTCGTTTGTTTTGTTTTCCACTCTCACCTACGAGTGTGATCATACAGCACATGTCTTTCTCCGACTGGGTTGTTCGCTCAGCACCTCACTCCCCAGCTCCCTCCACGTTGTTGCAAATGGCAAGCTTCGGTTCTTTGCGGCTGCTTGATACTCCGATGTGTGTACCGTGCAAGTTTTTTGCAGGATCGTGTACTGAGCCAGACCATGGAAGCTGCCCCAGTGAGCTCGAGGGTTTAGAGGAGCATGGAGTTGGCTGAGCTCCCTGGCAGGCGTGGCAAAACAGGAAAAAAATGTGATGGATTGTAAAATTCCCTTTGATTGTGAAGGTTTCCAGGTCATCACCAACTATTTCCTGGAATCAATTTGTGGAAATAATTGGTTACATTAATGAGGGACGGAGGGGAATAAGAGGGACCAAATCGCTTCCCCGGGATTAGTAGCTCGTAAGGACATGGCTTTCGCATCGGGCACAAGCAATCAGGGCTTACCTCTGCTTTCCCATTGGACGGTGCGGGAGATAAAGGCTTCAAACCTGGCACGTGTCCCCAAAATATTAAGTGGATCAAGGAAACCGTCGTTGAATGAAGTTTCTGGCCCCCAGCGTGACCTGAGTCAGTGAGCGTGAGCACGGCCAACCCCGCAACGAGAGCCGAGCGTGGGCGGCCCGTGTTCACGTTCAGTGGGCACGTTCTCAGTGATTCTGGCCAATCAGCCTTTCATTCTTTATCCCAAGGCTGTGCCCTTGGTCCCGTGCCAGGTGAGGAGAGCGAGGCGCCCTCAGGCCCCACCCACCCCTCCCAGGAGCTCGCAGTGCTGAGCGGGAGTACGAGGTCCCTGTCCTTGAAGGCTGTTCTCGGCTTCTGTATATGGACTAAGGAGGAGTCAGGATGTCAGCTGACGTCTGTGGCCACCATTGTGCGATATACACAGATGTTGGGTCATTAAGTTGTACGCCTGAAACCAATGTAATGGTTGTACGCCAATTACGCCTCAATAACATATAAATTCGTTTTTACAAAAAGGAATTGTCAGTATGATTTTTCAACGTCCACCCGAGCAAGGACACTGCCTCTGCAGAAATATGTTCATCAAGTACTAGATGCTGTGGCATTAAAGATTAATTGTTGGTGACATTTGAATATAAATCATCCCAGATGAGTGGGGGAATGAATATTTGTTTTTTCAGCAGTTAGCCGTTGAGTCCACGGCTATGCTGGCCTGTTCACACACATTGTCCTGCAGAAATCCATGAGGGCCCTGTGGCCGGCGGGGCTGTGCCCACTGCCCTGGGAGCTGAGACCCGGGGGGAGCCCGCGCCCCCACCCCCCTCCCCAGAGCTGCCGCTGGGAGGAAGGGGCCAAGGGTGCAGCCGGCCCCCCCAAACTTCTGTCTTCCTCCTCCCATCCCGACAGGGAGGAACGACCTGGGCATCCACATGAAGGCCTTTCAGAGCATCAGCTCCTGCAGTCGCGACTTCTGGAAGGTTCTCTTCAGCCACATTATATTGTCCGGAGGTACCTGCTCCTGTCCCGGCCTGCGGTTCCGGATGCAGAGAGAACTATCCAGCCTGGTCTCCCCTAGCATTAGTGTGAAGGTACACGGTCCCCCGACCCACCCCCAGAGGGCTTCCTGCACTCACTGCACAGACATTTCTGGAACAACAGGGTTTCACTTTGTCAGGTGCTTGGGAAGCGTCAGTAAGCGGAGGGGTGGAAGACCCTCGGGGCGTACATTCCGGGGGCAGGTGGGGGGAAGCCGTAAACAACAAGAATCCACATACTAGGGAGTAAGTGTGCGGGTGGGGCTGTAAGTCACGGGTGGGGGGGAAGCCACAGAGGAAGGCGAGGTGAGGGGTCAGGGTGGGTCTCCTCGGGAGGGAGCAGGGGAGCCATGGGCATACCTGAGGAAGCGCCCAGCCGCCCAGGAGGGCTTAGGGGTGGCGGTGTGAGGTCAGAGATGCTGTGTGAGGCTTGCGCTCCGAGGACAGAGGTGTGAGCAGAGCCAGGCTGGAGGCGGACCTTGGGGGCGGGGCACGGACTGTCCGCTGCAGGCGCAGGTGAGGGTCAGGGTCCCCAGGGAGGAGGCAGTCGGACGGCCATCCCTGCCTCGTGGCTGCAGGGGCGCCCTGGGGCCCGTCGGAGAGGGGACCAGGGACCTTACAGAGCTTGCAGCTGGGACCAGGACTCCGTGGGGACTTCAGGGGAGGCGAGGGGCTCCACGGCCCCAGGGAGGGGTGCAGATGGTGAGGAGGACGGGCTCAGGCAGCCGAGGGAGGGGGAGGCGCCGGTGCCGGGCAGCCCCGAAGCCCGTCCCCCCACCGGCCCTGGCCTTGCACCCGCTTCACCTGCCCCCCCCCCGTCATCTTCCACCCTGTAGAAGTGCTACGTACATATTTAGTTTTAAGTTAATGACATTTGCTTCTTAGGGGATGTCAGGTTTACAGGAGAATCGGGTAGGAAGTGAGGTCCCACACACTCCCACTTGCGTCGGGACACACACATCCGCTGAGACCCAAGTCCCCGGCTCACAGAAGGCTCCTCCGGGCTTGTATGCTCTGCCGGTTTGGGGACGTGTGATGGCCAGTGTCGCCCTGACGGTATGACAACGTCGCTCCCTGCCCCGAGGCTCCGTGCCCACCTGCTCACCCCGCCCCCGCCCCGGGCGGCCACTGGCCCTCTCCCGGTCGCACTAGAAAGCAAAGGAAGGCCTAGGTAACGGTTTGGAATGTCCGGCCCGGTTAGCACAGTGAGGAGGGGACCTGTGTCTGTCTCTGTAACTGGATTGAAGCAGCTCGGGTGCAAGCAGGGCTGGCCGCGGCGGGAGGGACCGGCTCGCCCGTGCCTTGTGGGTTGAATAAAGGCCTCCGTCCCCCTCGGCAACCCCGGGCCGCCCGCCACCGGGCTGTCCTCGCCGGGCTGCTCCTTGCTTGCTTCTGGCCTCAGGGCCTCTGCTGCCACGCGGTGTCCCGTGTCACCTGGGCCTTGGGCAGGCGCAAGCCCCCCACCCGCCAGCCGCGAGGGCGCCCCCACGATGCCCTCTATGTTATGGGCTCTTGGGAGCCACCCCCCCAGAGAGACGCCAGCCCCTCGTGCCCCGTGGCCCGCACTCGCCGCTACCCTTTGCATCCCCCTGCGAGGCACGAGGTGCGAGGTGAGGGCACGGAGCACACGGCGTGGGTCCCGGCGGGCCCACGGGCTCTGCCACCAGCTCCGGCACAGCACACCTGCCGGGGCCTCGGCCCAGGGCCCAGAGGCAGGAGGTGTGGACGGACCCAGACCCTCTGACCCTGAGCGCCCCCGCAGCCGCCTCATGCCTTGCAGGCAGGGCTCCAAGAGAACTTTCTGGCTTAGTTCTCAGTGTCTTCTGCTACCTGCCCAGAGCCCCACCTGCCCTCCGGCCTCCCTGCCTCCCTCCCTCTTCCCCAGCCGGACGTGGTGGCCGCACTTGGTGGGCCCAGGCGATGCTTGAGTGGGAGTGTAGGCCACCACGTGCTCTGGGCAGCGTGGATCCGTTTAACCTGGGACGCGTTTAAGCCACACGACCTTAGACCTTCCTCTGAAGGAGGGAAGACTCACCCCCTTCGGAGACGTTCCTCCTGCAGCCCAAATCCTGCTCTAATAAGATTCTTGGCATAAAACTCTGGTCGTGATTTACCTTTATTTCCTTAGGATAGTTTTTTCCCCTTAGAATCCATTTCTACACGTGGATTACCTGAGCCAGAAATGTGCCCAGCGTAAGGCTATTTGAACAGATGGCCAATTGCTCACGGAAGCAGCGGCCTCCGGGCCCATCAGCACAGGGGGGACAGCGGCTCGTGCCCATCGTCATTCAGGCGGGGACCTCGGTTGCTTTTCTATGTTACGTATTTATTTATTTGCTTTGCCTTTTTGGGAACTGAGGGGCAGCCGACTCACGATGCTATGTTAGCTTCAGGGGTGAGGCCCAGTGAGTACGTCGTGCTGACCCGGTGACAGAGCCACCGTGACTGTGGTCCCCATGCCCCCCCCCACCCCCCTTCGCGCATTCTGCACGAGGCCAAGGTTTTTAAAACTCTCCCCAGCTGGACGCATGCAAAGCCAATGATTGCTCTAATTTGCATTTCTTTAATTCCTGCCGAAAGTGAGTGGTTCTGCAGAAGTTTCCCCGCTGTCTGGCGGTTTTCCTTTCTGTTTTTTTTTAATGTATTTTTGCATCTGTCAACCCTCGGGCCGTGTCTCCGTTGGTAGTTTTGCGTCCTGTTCTCCTGAATGTGTGCACTGTCCCAGTTTTGTGCACGCTGTTTGCGTCTGCGTGTGCGTTCAGAAAAGACACGGATGTGGCGGGTGATTCGTCCCAGCGACAGCCTGTGGGTGGCAGCAAAGACAAGCAGAGGGGCTGGCTGCCGGTGGCCCGCTCTCCTCTGCCCAGGCCTGACCCCGAACGCGCTCTTGTCCTCCCTTCTGACTGGCGGTTTCTGCGGTATTTCTTCTCTTCGCAACAGCCGCCAGCGTTTTCACGCAGGCAGGGCTCTGTGGTGCGACAGAGCCGGTGAGGGACGGTCACCGACTCTGGCCACTCGTCCTTCCTCGTTGCACCTCGCGGGACCCTCCACGGCCTCGCCCAGTCCCCTTTCCCCGCAGACCCCTTTCCACATGCCTCACGGAAAGTCAGCGAATGCGGAAGGGTGACCACTGTGTGACCTCGAGCAGGGGACGCTGGCCTTGCAGCGCAGTGGTCCCACGGGGGTGGGTGCTCTGACGTTTGGCTCCTCCCAGCCCCAGGGGTGCCCTGACCTGGACTGGAAGCTGCCCCCTCCCCGAATCCAAGGCACGGGGCCCGCACCCGGGGGCAGGTGTCGGGGCGGGAGTCAGAGCGCAGCACGGTGCGAGCGTCCAGGGCTGTGCGCCCAAGCGTTCAGGGGATTTCTCCGGGTCGCTTGAGTGCCTGTGCCTCTTGCGTATCCGTATTTTCTTATTTTTCTACGAAACCCACATGCCTTCCCCGTACACTGTAATCACTCGGAGATGCGCCAGGTATTTCAGAGCGAGTCTAAGAGCCAAGGGTGAGCCCTTCCTGCCCTTGCTACTTTCATCCTGTAGTTTAAAGCTACAGGCAGGCAGCGCGTGCACCGACAGGCATCTTTAAAGGTTGGAATAAATTGCGTTTGCGCGGAGGGAGGAAATGACTGTCCGTGAGGTTTGTTCGGGGATTGATAGTTTGTGCCTCAAATTTGGAGTGGTATTTTGATTCTGGTTTCCTTCCCTCTCTCCTCTGACCCCTCCACCCCTCCCGCACCCCGTGCCCTCCCTCTCCCACCCTCCCCTCTCTCTGCCTCCTCCACCCTGTCCAGGTATCCACCTGCCCCTATTCCACGTACAGCGCCTGGATGGGCGGCTCCATCCTGTGCTCGCTCTCCACCTTCAAGGACATGTGGGTCACCAGCCAGGAGTATCAGGACATCGGTTCCTCTGTCATCAGCAGGAGAAGCTTCTGATTTGTGGCTTTGTGGATGCCGTCTCCTGGCCTGTCCATGCCAACTCCTCCTTGGCTGCATTGATCGGAGCTGAGAACCAGCTCGAATGTGAGGGTGGCCCTTCCTCCCCAGACTTCCATAAACCTGGTCAATAAAGAACAGTCGACGCTCTCTGTCCGGGCAACGCTTGCAACATCTTGGGAAATGCTCACAGGGCAGTCGCTGTGTTAACGCAGGGTGACGAAGGGGCGGGGGTTGGCTGCTGGCCCCCGAGGACGGGTCAGCACAGCTCAGTGTGTGGCTGCAAGGAACGTGCCCAGGCTCGGTGCCAGAAACAAAGTCTGTTTCCCACTCACGCCGCGTGTCTGTGGAAGGCCAGCGCGGCTCTATTAACATCGTGCTCACAGCAGAATCTGACCGCCGGAGCAGACAGCGTCTGGAGTGTTGTCCTTCACTGTGGGTGAGCGTGCGCCCCGGTGGCCTTTCATTGGCAACGGAACGCTTGAGCCAGACATGTGCCCACAGCTAATTGTCCGGAACGAGTCACCGCAGGGGCTTCGAAGTGCCATTGGCTGCAGACGTGGCTCCCCAAGTGGGAAGGACACAGCGCTACTGGGGCAGCAAGGGGCCTGGCGGCCTTCTGGTGGCTTGAGCCCTCATGCCCGGCTGTGAGACGGGTTATTAATGCTGACCTCGTGATTCAGGGACTGAAGCTAGCAGAGGCGAATTAACTCAGTGAAGGTCACCTAGACAATGACAGGGGGTTCAGATCTGTGGATAAACCTTGCAGGGGTGCAGAGGGCGAGCAACACAGGGGAGAAGGAACTACAGACAGTGCAGAAGTCCCCCCCCCAGGACAAGTTTTGCATGTGGACAGAGCTCTGGGAGCGTCCCACACACTGACACAGCCTGATGGCACTTCCAAGCATTGAATAAATTCTAGAGGCAGTGGGAGAAAACAGCAGGAAACAAAGAATCTAGTGAAGAAATGGGCAAGAAGCATGAACAGACACTTTTCCAAAGAAGACATCCAGGCGGCTAACAGACACATGAAAAGATGCTCAAAATCGCTTGTCTTCAGGGAAATAAAAATCAAAATTGCAACGAGATACCACCTCACACCTGTCAGAGGGGCTAAAATTAACAACTCGGGAAACAACAGATGTTGTTGAGGATGCAGAGAAAGGAGAAATCCTTGTGCACTGTTGGTGGGAATGCAAAGTGGTGCAGCCACCCTGGAGAACAGTGTGGAGGCTCCTCAGAAAACTGAAAATAGATCTACCCTATGACCCAACAATAGCACTCCTAGGAATTTATCCAAAGGATTAAAAAATGCTGATTCGAAGGGACACATGCACCCTGATGTTTATAGCAGTGTTATCAACAACAGCCAAATTATGGAAAGAGCTCAAATGTCCATTGACTGATGGATAAAGAAGATGTAGTGTGTACACACAAGCACACACACGCACACACACATACACACACACTGGAATACTACTCAGTGATGAAAAAGAATGAAATCTTGCCACTTTTGACAACATAGATGGAACTTGAGTGTATTACACTAAGCGAAATAAGTCAAAGAAAGACAAATACCGTATGATTTCACTCATATGTGGAATTTAAGAAACAAAACAGATGAACCTAGGGGAGGGGAAGCAAAAATGAGATAAAGATGGAGAGGGAGGCAAACCATGAGAGACTCTTAAATTCAGAGAACAAACTGAGGGTTGCTGGTGGGGTGTTGGGTGGGGGATGGGCTAAATGGGTGATGGGCATTAAGGAGGGCACTTGGGATGAGCACTGGGTGTTGTATGTAAGTGATGAATCACTAAATTCTATTCCTGAAACCATTATTACACTATATGTTAACTAACATGGATTTAAATTTTAAAAATGAGGGGAAAAAGGCAGACAGGTTAAACCCTTACGTATGGCTACCAGGAAAAATCCAGAATACCAGCTATGAATTTCAGAAGTACAGCAGCCAGCTTTCAGAAGAAGCACGTCCCCAACACTGCACGTGTTTTCATCTGCTAAATGTGCAAGTGTGAGGTGGGAAAGAAAGGTCCAAGTGCATCAGAACTCCTCCCTGCAAAGCGGGCGCCAGAAGAGAGGAAGCTGCCGGAAACAGCCCTCCTTGGCCACCAGGCTTGAAATGTTGGAATGAGATACTTTGGCAGCAAAGACTCAGAAAGTTTACCACCCGTGTGTTGCTCCCAGAAGCTGCTGTCCCGTGGGCGGCGGGCAGAGCTGCCCCCTACCCCCCCCACCCCTGCCCCGCAGCCTCGCACAGCCACACGGAACCTCCTTCCGCTCCGGGCGCAGGTGGTTGAAGGTATAAATCCGAATATTTGTCAGATACTAAGTGCTTACGGAACACTTTTCTTACTTGAACGTGGATGACGGAATCTGAAGGGACGTGGGGCAGACGGGCTCCCGCCCTCTTTTGTATTCTGAATTTTGTGCCATGTGCACCAAACTTTAAAAAATCACTTTAGGGGCATCTGGGGGGCTCTCTGGTTAAGCGTCCGACTTCGGCCCGGGTTATGGTCTCGCGGCTTGTGAGTTTCAGCACCGGGGCTGGGGGAGGGGCTGGGGGCCCGTGTGTCATGGGAACAGAGGTTCAGTTTGGGACGATGGGCTGTTTAGAGACGGATGTTGGTGACGGTTGTGGAATAACGGGAACACACTTCATGCAGGTGAGTTGCGCACTTAGAGACGGTTACGATGGTGAATTCTGCGTCGTGTGTATTTTATCACAGTAAGCAAAACAGCCCTCTGTGGCCGCTCATCCCGGGAGGAGACATATGGTCTGAACTGAGTCTTTGCCCAGCTGACCTGCCGCCTCTGTGAGGTCACGCTTCTTGCACTGTCCCCCACCCCCCTGCTCTGTTCACGCTGCCTGCACGCTGCTCGGACTCACCCCTGGCCCAGGGCCTTTGCACATGCCAGTCTTGCTGCCGGGGACACGCGGCCCCCAAACAGCGGTTTGGATTCCTCACTGCACTCGAGTCCGCGCCAAAACTCTCTTTGGTACAAAGGCCTTTCCTGACCGTACGGCCCTACTCACCCCCACTCTGTCCGTGCCCTGCCCTACTCACCCTCATTGCTCTGACCACTCCCACATAGTGACTGTTTGTCTGAGTCCTCTGTCCCCAGCCAGATCACCGGCTCTGCCAGCACAGGGACTTTGCTCCTGCTGAATTTGGCACACTGTCCCCAAGACAGTCAACATGTACTTGTTGAACAAATGAATGAGTGAACGAATGAAAGAGATGAACGGGAAATGTGGAAAAGCTTTAGAGAAAGTGGACAGAGGAAGGGAACGGGCAATCCACAGAAGGGAAATGTGCAAGTAGACGGTAAGGTTGTGGATCAGGGCGCAAACTCATGGAGACATTTCTTCGGAATTGAGTGAACTGTGGATCCTACCCGCTAAGAGAAGCAAGGGAAAACCAGAGCGAGCTAATTCTTGATACCTGCTAAATAGAGGGGCGGCCCCAAGTTTCTAGGGTGGCCGGCGGGGAGCTGGGTGCCCTCACTCACTGCTGGGGCTGCATCCCGTCTGCAGGGCTCTGGAAGCGGGGCCCCACCTTCCCCTCGGCCAGGCTCCCCCGCCCCCACCCACCCACCCCCGCCCGTCGGGGGCACTAGGCACATTCCCAGCTGGTTCTCCCTGTGACATTCACATGCTGTGCAACCTCTGAGCATTCCAGATGGACATGGGGACAGACCCGGGCAGTCCGTCAACAAAGCTCGTCCGTGCAAACCCCCTAATTCTGTGCAACAGTTAAAAGCAATGATGTAGATATACTCAGATGCGTTGCCAGCTCTTCAAAGTCTCTGCTGACCGTTCTGGACTATTTGTGGACTTGGTTTGTGTCAACGTTAGGTACATGCATAGTTTAAGGAGTCACCTCGTTCCAGAGAGGCGTCTGCAAACTGTCCAAAAAGCGCCAGGAGCCCACTGTCCTTGGCTTTGTGGCTGCCCGGTCTGTCTGGACTCAGTTCTGCCTCCGTCCAGCGACAGCACATCAGCCCATTTCCAGTAATGGCGGCCGTGGGAAGGTCTGCGCTTGGCTCTGACCCTCCACCTGGGTTTCCACTGACACCGCTTCCCTGATGTCTCTCCTTTTCACCTGCTTGCACCGGACTGGCTTAATTTCCTTCTTCCCTCTACCGATTGAGGAGTGCGTCCATTACTCCTTTTCTCTCGGGGCCACCATGCAGCCTTCACAGGCTCGCTAACCTTAACGGAGTCTGAGGCTAAGTCATACCTGCCGACACCGGGGCCCGGGGATGCTTTCACTGCAGTCCCTCCTCCCGTATTATAGTTTGTGTTTTAATGTGACGAGGTTTTGTTTCTGTACGAGACCCTTCAGCTGGCCTCGTGCTGGTGAGAAGGGCTGATGACTATCTGATAATGTCCATATTTTGCCCACATTAAAAAAAAATCTAAACGAGATACAATTCACATGCCACGAAATTCACCCACTTAAAATGTGTGATCCAGTGGTTTTTGGTGTGTTCACGGAGCTTGCAACTACCACCACGGTCCATTCTAGAACATCTTCATCACCCCAGAAAGAACCAGGTCCATGGGCACTCACTCCCGCCGCCCTCCCCAGCCCCCGGTGGCCACAAATCTACTTCCTGTCTCTGTGGATCTTCCTGTGACAGACATTTTATATAAACAGAATCACACGGTATGTGGCTTTTCGTGACTGGCTTCTTTCACCGAGGGTGTTTTCAAGGTCCATCCACGTGGCAGTGAATATCAGTACTTCAGTCCTTATTACTGCTGAATGATACCCCCTTGCACGGATGGACCCCGTTCCGTCTGTCCATTCATCTTTCGACGCTCACTGCTGCCAGTGTAGATGTATAAGCTCCCTCCTCGTGGGTTAGACTTGACCGACCTTCAGCTGACCTTGGGTGCCACGGGTTGAAGCTGGAGGCTGGGTCCCAGAATCTGTGCTCAGAGAAGCAGGGAGGCCCTTAGACGCTTGGTAAACACACTGGCTCTGGGGTGAGCTGTGGACACTGCAGGCTGGCCGCCAACGCAGCCGGTGGTTCCT